CCGTACTACTGGTGAACTACAACGATAGTATCCCTCTGGGGCACGTCTGTTAATCTCGATATAGGAGTATGCCGTTGGGCTTATGTGCCCCAAGGGGCGCCACCCCCTCCAGGGTTAAACTCTCGGTGTTAACTCTATCGTTGGTGCAAGGGGGTGGGGAGGGAGATAATTTAGCCAGCCTAAGGCGGGACATCTCAGGCGTGTGACCGCAAGGTTTGCGGGTCTATGTCCCTGGCGTATATATCATATGAAATTATGAAGAGCTATAAGTGGGGGTGTATATCCACCCACTCTGACATTGCTAGGATTGTATGACACAAAAGATATTATAAAATTAACGGAGAAACATAAGTTAAACAAAATAACATTCTAAACTTATTTGTTTATGCACTGGTTGTGGTGGTGGAAAGTGTGGCAGTCCTCTGAATGGACAGGCGTCCGTTTCAGCTTAGGTCAGTCCAGCGGCCTCATCCGGTGGTTGTTGTCGTCGTTGTGGCCTCGGGATGATTTCCACTACTGTGGAGGGATCCAGGTGAGACAGGTTGGTCGGAGTCTCTGCCTGAACGGCTGAGAGGCCCAGCCAGCCAAAAAGACAATTTAGTTCTTGAGGGCTCCTTGCCCGGTGAGTAGTCCCTTGAAAAGTTATTGTGAGTAGCCTTGATTCCCCCCAGCAATAGGGGATGTTCTTGGCGCGCAGTTGTTGCAGTTGGGGTTGGAGTGATTTGCGCCATGAGAGAGTGTTCCTCGTTAGGTCTGGGAACAAGGAGATTTGTGAATCCTCAAATATCAGCGGGGACCTCCCCCGGGCCGCTGCTAGCAAAGTGGCCTTGTCCTGAAGAGACTGAAACCGCACTATAAGGTCTGCGGTGGCCGTGGGTGGTGCTGCTCTGGGTTTCGGCAAACGGAATAGTCCGTCCAGTTTTATGTTTTTGGCCTGCTTAGGCTGTAGCAGTGTAGCCAGTGGGCATCTAATGTAGTGTGGGAGGTCGGGTAATCCGATGGTGTCAGGCACCCCTCTGATTTTAAGATTGTGTTTCCTTCTGTAATCCTCCAGGGCTTCCACTTTCTCAGCGGTGATGATTTGCTGCTTTTGGAGGTCAGAGACCTTTTGCTCTAAAGTGTTTAGTCGGGTTTCCTGAGTACTTGCTGTGGTCTCGAGGAGGTCGAGCCTCGTGGTTGCACCCGCTATGGCGTCCTTAAAGCAGGCTATATTCATAGCTAAGTTCTGCCTAAGTTCAGCAAACATGCTCTTTAGGAGGTCTGCAGTAACTGGATCGCCAGGCAGAGGTGGTTTGGTCGTTCAGGGAAGGTCCCTCTCCCATGTCAGTATAGCCGTCGTCCGAGGAGTCCGAGAATCCTTTTTCCCCCAGCGCCATTTTCTCCTATGCAGCTTTCTGAGAGTTCCGCAGGAGTTCGCCAATGTCATGGCTAGCAGGAGCTTTGTCCGCCCTGGGTTTCTTGTTTTTCCTGCCCATCGTGGTGTCTTCGATGTGCAGCGTAGGTAATGGGTAGGTAAGTGCCCAATTTCCACCAAGAAAACCAGTTATTTTGCCCGTTATGGCACAGAGCCTTCTGAGGTGCGTCTGCTCTGTTCGTTAGCTGGCTCCGCCCCCCATGGACGAGAATATTTTGTTGTTTTATTTGCTATGTCTTTGAGTTTTTATTTTAATGTGTAAATTTAAAACTGTTTATTTACCAGAAAAATCAAAACCTGAAAAACATGTTGGCTCCCAGTTATGCCATTAAAACTCCTTCCACTAATAGAAGGATCCTGTAGGGGATGTAATGTGTGCAAAGCTTGTAGGACTGTGACTATTGAGAGATACAATACCTTTTCTAGTTTTAGTACTGGGAAGGTATATCATATTAAATCAGATATAGGTTGCCACACGGACTTTGTGGTTTAATTACTGCAGTGTCCGTGTGGCAAACTGTATGTGGGCCGTACCGCAAGAATTTTTAAAGTTTGAATACTTGAACATCTGAACAACATTAGGAAGGGGTTAATTACCCACTCAGTTTCTGCACATTGCAGTACATGCCCTTCCTTTTCATGGAAAGAGTTCAGATGCATGGGTATCGAAAGAGTTGCCCCTCATTGGCGTGGTGGTGATAGGATCAAGAATCTATCCCAAAGAGAAACTTTTGGGATTCACCAACTAAAAACATTAGAACCCATGGGATTAAATGTAGATATTGATTTGGTTTGTTTTTTATAAACTATACCATGTTTTTTGGTTTGTCTGCATGCTTTTATGTCTTATTATAACGGTATCTGGTCTTATTTACCCTTTCTTTCTTTTTTACTTTTTGGGAACTTCATATAGATACTTTCTTACCATTCATCATATATTCGTAATAAAATTACGGATTTACATCCATCTTATTATTCAGTTAGGGGTATTTGATTTGGATTAACAAATATTGATACACTGAGAGATTGTCCATGGTAGATATGTGTGTTTTTCTTCTTTTTTATTTTAATTTAATTTTAATTTAGTTTAAAAAATTCAATGACATATAATGTGCAAGTTTTGATTTTTTATTATTTTCAAATTATTCACATTATTGTTACTTTGTGATTGTAATTGTGTTTTTCTGAGATTAGATTTAAATTAAGTGTTTACTGGGGATTTAAAAGTGGTAAAAGAGTTCAATTTATGCCATATAGCTATACTCCACCATGTTGCTGCCGATACTGTTGTGTTTTGTCTCAATAGATATATGATTATTTCCAATATTTACTACTTGGGACTGTTCCCCTGGCGACCACCAGAGGGCTCTGCTAATAGACACCTTGATCTGCCTTGCTGGAACGTATGATCGAATGGAACGCGGAAGTGTGCGTCCACTTCCGGTTCCGGTTTTCGGCTGACACTGGACGTGGGAATTTCTACTGCAATTAAAATAAGAAAAAGCCAGCTTGATGTGAGTAACTACTACACCAATGATGAAAGGAATCCAGTAGGATGCCCAGGTCGCCACCAATCAACTTAGGGGTTAGCCCTATATAACAGGACTAATGGGAGGGTGGGATTAGGCTGTATTTTATACTCTGTCATTGCTGTATAATATTTGGTTTTAATTTTGGTCCCTGAGGAAGTTCCGTACTGTGAACGAAACGCGTAGGACCTCATTTTAAGTTTATATTCTCTTCTTATTGTTGGGTGAAGATTCACCCTTAATAAAGCCGTTTTATATTTTTTCCACCATCCTGTGAGTCCTGCTTTCCATTTATCTGTTTGGAGCAACTGGAGGAAGAGAATAGACCCCATTACTAACAGGGGAGGCACCCTAGAGCGCTATTTCTTGTCTAATCTTGTGAGTGCATTTCACGAATACTAATTCATTATTTGAAACTGATTTACACTATGTATATTTATGTTTTTTCATTTTAGATTTCTCAGCCGTTTCCCGAATATTTCTGGTTGTTCTATATTTACCAGAAATAAATGAAATATTTAGAGAAAAACACATTTTTTTCACAGTTTGTCTAATATAAATTTTAGACAATTAGTGCAGCTAAAGAACTATGTCTAGAAATAGATTATTCCATTTGTATTGATTTTGGAAATACCTCATATACCTGGATTCCTCATTCCTGAAAAGTTTTTGTATTGTGGCAGCTGGCATTATGCTGCTGAAAGAAGTCACTGCCATCAGGGAACATCATTGCTATGAAGGAGTGTATGTGATCTACAGCAATCTCTAGGTAGGTAGTAGTTGTCAAAGTAGCATCTAAATGAATACCAGGACCCATGCTTTCCGATTAGAACATACAGTGCCTCTACCTTGTCCGATACTTCCTGCTGCCATCTCCTACCCAGGTAAACAATGCACACAAACCTAGCCATCCAACTGATCTAAAACAAAATGTGATTCATGAGACCGGGCAACCTTCTTTCATTACTCTATGGCCCAGTTCTGATGCTCATATCCCAATTAAAGGTGCTTTTAGTGGTGGACATGGGTCATCACTGGTCAAAAAACGATGATGCACTGTCTTGTCTGACACCTTTCTGTTATGACCAGCAAGACTTACCATTTTGGAGATGCTCTGACCCAGTCGTATAGCCATCACTATTTGGCCTTTGTCAAAGTCACTCAGATCTTTTCGCTTGGCCATTTTTTCTGCTGCCAACACATGAAAGTCAAGAACTGACTTTTCACATGCTCTCTAATATATCCCACCCCTTGACTGATGCCAATGTTACAATATAATCAAGGTAATTCACTTCACCTGTCAGTGATTTTAATGTTGTGGCTGATTAGTGTAAATATTTGTTTGCTGTTTTTACCCTTCATAATTTCAACTCATCCAATGGTTCTTGAATTTTGTGTGCCCTTAGGAAGTGTAGTGGCAGATTTTTTTTTCTACCACAAATATAGCTTCAAATTCTGAAACTCATGATAATTGTGCATTGTTGTTCTTGTTGTTTTGCAGTAATGCAGCAATGTTACATTCATTTTAGGTTGTCTTTACACAAACTACATTTGGGTTCTGTGTATATTTTACAAAGAAGCATGGAAGTTTCTCTCTTTTTTTTAACCCCCCAAAAGCATATTGTAAAAGATGAGAAACAAGAAAATACATGACGTGATAATTATCATTTCAAAATGCGAAGAATTTTCTTTAAAAGATAATTGTGACATGGTGCTTAAAATGTTGGACAGTAAGCCAAATAATCTTTACAAATAGTTGTTACTGTAATACTTGAATGCAGATATTTATTTTGTCATTACCCTTTTTTTCTGGACCAATGCAAAATGCTGCTGAAATATGTCAGAATCAAAATAAAAGAAAATACTCTGTAAATCAGTAACAATGCATTAGTGGCACAAACTGGCTTGGAAATGAAAAGGGGAAAAAATGCTGTTATAATTTTTTTATTTTTTTTTATCACTAGATTTTTACTATCTAGCTCTAAGCTTCTGTCCCCATTCCAAGCTCAATGAGCTTACGAACTTGTCACAGCTTAAAATAGATGTTTACAGATCAGCTTCTAACTGCAGCAACATTGGGTGGCAGAAGATAGATTATATTCACTGAGACAAACACGGCAATACAGGTTAACCTTAGCACTCTGAATCTTTATTTCTTTACAATCTTTATAAGGTAAGCGTTTAGTCTGTAAGCTTTTTAATTATGCTAAGCATTTTCTCTGTGATCTTGAATGTTCTTGAAATTTGAAAATACTATCACTTTTAGTACCATGTTAATTTTCTGATATTGCCAGTTTATCAGGTCTGGCACAATACATGTAGTATAGAACCTAGCATTCTAACTGCGCATTAACAGAGAGACTTTTCATGGAAGAATTAGAATGATAGGAGTTTTGGGCCACTAAATGATGCTGGATGTCCTCATGCTTTGTATTCCTAGCAGTATAGTACCCCTTTAAATATTAAAAGGTAGCTTAATGCAGAATGCAAGGACGGCACCATCACACCCCATAAACTATAACCACTTCAATGATATAGAGTAGTTATTGTGCCTACAGTGTCCTATTAAGTTATCTGGAACTAGTCAGTGCTCACTTGCCAAATGCCAATCATTATGTATCCTCAGAGGCATAGCTAGGTGACTTGTTGGCACCCGCCTTCCCAAATGTAAACATTTGTGTGTCGCTTCTGCACATATGTGTGTATAAACTGTCCATTATTGTGTGTTTATCTTAATACCCCTTTTAACCTTGTGTGTATCTTGAACCCTTTCACTTTCTTATGTGTCTACAGACACACACTTAGTTACAGTCACAGCCATACACACATAGTCACAGGCACACATACACTTACAAACACAGCTACATACACAGGCACACAAATAATTACAGTCACTCACACACAGAAACACACAAAGTTACAGTCACTCACTCACATACACAGAGGAGCGTATTCACATTCACTGGTGTCTAGTGGTCGGAGAAGCAGGGACTGTTTCCTGCTCACCCTTCAGCATGTAGCCATTCCAGGAAGCCAGTAGATCAAGCCTCTGCCGCTGTTGCTTCAGTAGACGTGGCAGCACCGGTGCTGTGCCCCTCTTCATCTGCTGCCCAGGGTACATGCTACCCCTCTTAGTTTGGCTGCAGTGTATCCCCATCTAACAATAGGAAGGCTTAGTACATACCTTAGGCTGACACCCAACGTGCTGCAGATGGCAACATGTATAAAAATGGATGCTCACTATTAAAATCCCAGCAGTGCTTGAGATAAAAAGAAACAACAAACAAGGAACAAGCACGGGTCTATGCTCCCACCCATAGCCTGTTGGTAGGGTCTTAATTTGAATACATACCATTGTCTGCCCATGCTGCCACCCATGTTTAATAAGTAGTAAATACTAATATATAACTGGAGAGAGTATGCCAGTGTGCCCTCCCCGCTCCATTATGTTCTGCGGATGTGTGCCATTATTAAGTTAATGGGCAGACATGCAATTTTCTTGGGCACTGGTTGAGGGTGCAATATCCCCACTGACAATTCAAGGTGGGAAAAACTTTTATAAAGGAAATGTTAGTCAGATAGTTGTAAAGCCAATCAACTAGAGCGCTCTGACAAGACTTGCAGTGTATATTCATTTTTTTTTGAGGCCGACAAAGATCCTTTTAAGATCATACTAATACAATCTGACTTTCTCCTGGATAGAAAGATACTAGCTTCCAGGGGCGTTACCAGAGCATTTGGCACCTGGGGCGGATCCTGTGTTTGGCACACCCTCTTTCCTCCCCCTCTTTAAAATGTAAAGAACACCCACACATTTTTTTTAATGTTTTTAAGAATATTTATTGCACAAATTTGTAAATTGTATATCAACTCGAAAACACTAGAACTATGAAAAATAAATGAACTTAGAAAAAAAACATTGTCCTCCCCCCATTATACAAAACCCCTGCCCTGACCCATTATACATTCCCCCTTATACAAAACCCCTGCACCCCATCCACAAACATCTGCCCCCCTTCCACAAAAAGCCCTGCCTTTCTCCATTCTTGAAAAATCCTGTCCTGCCCCCTTATACAAAACCCCTGCACTTCATCTTTCTTAACATTAATGCACCCCTTTTTAAAAATACTGCACCCCACCTTCACATAAAAACACTGTATGCCCCCTACATATAAAAATATAAAAACCCTGCAATTGTAATATTTGTGGGAACTGTGTTTAAATAATCGTGATAAATTGGACTTGGAGGAAAGGACAGCCCTTGCATTTAGTACAAGCTAAGTGAATGGGTTTGGAAAGAGTAATTTATCTTAATTCTGGCACAGTTTTTTTTTACATTTATTGCTGTGGATTTCAAAAAATGTCCAGTTTACCTTGTGAAAAGCTTTTTAGTGTCAGTTAAAAAAACATTAATTCAGTGTTAGATGAGTACAGTGAGCAATGGTAATAATTTGGATCACCGCCTAGTAAGATTACAATGTCACTTCTTCATAATGGTGCCAAGAAAAGTTACATGATTTTCTGCCAAAGTTGCTGCATTTTAATATGAATGTTGCCTATATTTCTTGTTTAGTCTCCTAATTTTGCTGCCAAGTGGTGAAGATGAAAAATAAAAAATATATCTTGAACCCCTTTACCTTTTGTCTTGAATGTACAATTAAATATGGATACCTAATTACCAGAAATTCAGCTATAAACTGATTGCCAAATGGTTTATAGGAAAATTTCCAGAATGTTAAGTCCTTCAATTTAAACTGAGACCCAAGATCTTTCAAGAAGTGTTCTACTAATTATGCGGTAAACTACAATGTATTGTATTAGGTTTATTGACACATTAACCCCTTAAGGACACAACTTCTGGAATAAAAGGGAATCATGATGGAATATTTCCGTCATGTGTCCTTAAGGGGTTAATGGCTGGCGATGAGCTGTTAATAATGTCAAAGCAATTCCACTGTTGTTACATTTGAACAACTTTTGACATTATGAATTAAGTGAAAAAGTCACAGATGTATTACGTTAAGTACTCGTGTTTAAGCGATCACAATCCTATGGAAGGACAGTTGACACTTTAATGGAACCATCAAACATTTTGTGGATTCAGCAAAACCTTACTGTTTGCTCTGAGCTGATGAGAATGGTTCAATTAAATGTTCTCTTTGCGATGCATTTCATTGGACCATTGAGAGGGAAGAAGCAATGTGAAATGACTCCAAACTGGACATGAAAAGGAGACCTTCTCTCTGTGCTGGATTCAAGGTAAGAATTTACTCTTTTAACAGGTCTAGGGGTTAAAAAAATGGGGGAGAGGAGAAGGGGGAGGTGGACATAGCAGTGCCCAATAAGGCAGTATAACTTATAAAACCTGCTACACATACAGGGGAAGGGGGCATGTAATCAATTTGTCAAGCAGAAATCGGCAACATCAGTGCCAGTGAATCTGCAGAAGTGTAGATATTCATCACATAGGCTTAATATTATATAAAAAAAAAATAGGATTTAATGGTTGTATTATTACAACCAATAGTAGCTATCTAACAGCGTCATTCCATGAATGCCTTTTCAGATTTTTTATAGACAAGAATGACTTTGCACTATTTGCACTCTATAGGTAAAATCCCTTTGATAAAACCGCCATTCCCACAACAAGCATACTTTCACTTTCCTCACACATACCAGTTATGTGCAATTATATTATTGCCATTTACACAAAAAGCCTGCTGAGTGCTAAATGGTTTGAAACTTTTGTTACTACAGTAAAATTTAACATATTGGTTACTATGATATATTCCCTTTTTTTTATACAGCTATTAGCTAACATACTGCTATTGATAAACAGCAATGTGAAAGAAATCAGATTTAACACAACATAGTTACATGCCTACCATAATAGGATTTTGATCAACAAAACCCGTTCTATTTGATGACATGAAATGGAACAGAAGTCAGAAAATAAAATATATAAATTGTCTATTACAGTTGAGTCTACAAATAGTAGAGCTGTTGAATGTTACTGGCCTAGCTGCATGTTTCTATAATTGACCTTGATCAGTGGCCCTCTGCCAATGCTGTGTGTCATTAGGCTTGGTTCCGAAGGTAGATACTTGATATCTGGAAGATTATCTTGGCTATATGAAGCAGATGAGCAGTTTGCTAACTATTATTCTTGATCAAGGGAAAATCTGTCACATGAAATGAGTATACACATCATAATTATGTGACTGACTTTAGAAAACTTCCCTTGAGTCTTCAGGCTTTAAGAATTTTCACAACTAACATTGTAAACTTAATTAAAGGGGTTCTTCAAAGTAGATACAACATTTATATAATTTGTTTACTATCTAAATAGGCAAGAAAAAAAAACATGCTGTTTTGTTTAGTTTTGTTATTTGATTTCCCCCCCTTGTGTTTTAAACAGGGGTCAAGTCCTGGGGGAAAAAGTGTGGAAACTCACCAAATATCCACCCCCCCCCCCTTTCCCCCATCCAAAAGCATCTTCACCTGTGTACCTCTTAATCCACATTTTGTTTCTTATGCCATTTTTAAAATATCTTACCCCCTTTAATGTATCTTATCCATTATTTTTCCCCATTGTGTGTTTTACACCTTCCTTGTGTATCTCTTACAACCCCCCTTTGTGTGTAACTTTCTCTCCCAGCCCCTTTGTGTCTTTTTTACTCTTACCAGCTCCTTTGTGTGTTTCTCTTTTACCACCAGCCAGTCTATCTCCCCCCAGTCCATCTGTGTCTCTATTTCCTATTCTCTAGCCCCTCTGTGTCTCTTTCACCCCCAGCCCCTTTGTATTTCCACCCCATGCTCTTCTGTGTGTCGCTTTCATCCTCAGCCCCTCTGTGTGTCCTTCTCCCTCCTCATGTCTCTCTGTGTATCTTTCTCCCCACTCAGGCCCCCCTGTGTGCCACTCTCCCCTACATGTCCTTTAGTGTTCCTCTCTCCTCCCCTCCATGTCCATTAGTGTCCCCACCCTTACCTGTCTCTTAGTGCCCCCATTACCCTTAATGTTCCTCTCCATTCTCTATTAGTGGTCCCCTCTACCCCAGTGTTTCTTTTCCCTTCCCTCCCCTGTACCTTAGTGCCCCTTCCCCCTTTTTTAGTGTACCCCCCCATACCCTGTCCAAGAGTGTTCTTTCCCATTTCCCCCCACCCCTGTCCCATGGTGTTCTCCCTTCCATAGTGTTCCTTCCCCCCCGCTCCCCTGTCCCATAGTTTATAGTTTCCCTTACCACACCTCCCTCCCCTGTCCCACAGTGTTTTTCCACCCCTCCCCGTACCATAGTGTTCACTTTACCCTTGTCCCATAGTTTTTTCCCCCCTACCCTGTACAGTGTTTTTCCCCCTCCCCTGTCCCATAGTTTTCTCCCCCCCTTCTCTGCCCCATAGTGTTCCTTACCACAACCCCTCCCTTGCTCCATAGTGTTCTTTCCCCCTTTTCCCCTGTCCCATAGTGTTCTTCCACCCCCTGCCCCATCCCATAGTGGGACCCCTTCCCCTGTCCCATAGTCTCCCCCCCCTCCCCTGCCCCATAGTGTTCTTCCACCCACCCATCTTATTGTGTTACTTACCATCCCCCCAGTGGCGTACTAAGGGGGGGGGCAGAGGGGGGCGGTCTGCCCCGGGTGCCAGCAGGGTGGGGGGTGCCTTGGGAGGGGGCGCCACCAGGAGCACCGGCCCCCCTCATGCTGCAGCCGCCCAAGCCTCAGGCGGCTGCAGCTTTGTCCGCCCGGGCGCAGCCTGAGGAGAGGGGCTGACAGGAGGGAGAGTGACAAGGGGGGGAGAAAGAGAGAGTGACAAGGGGGGGAGATAAAGAGAGTGATGGGGAGATAAAGAGAGGAAAGAGTGACAGGGGGAGATAAAGAGTGACAGGGGAGGAAAGAGAGTGACAAGGGTGGAGATAAAAGAGTGACAAGGGGGGAGAAAGAGAGTGACAAGGGGAGAAAAGAAAGAGTGACAAGGGGGGAGAAAGAAGAAGGAAATAACAAGGGGGAGAAAGAAGTGACAAGGAGGGAGAGAGGAAAGTGACAAGGGGAAGAAATGAGAGAGTGACAAGGGGGAGATAAACAAGTGACAGGGGAGAAAGACAGTGACAAGGGGGAGAAAGAGAGAGTGACAAGGGGGGGAGAAAGAGAAAGTGACAAGGGGGGAGAGAAAGAGAGTGACAAGGGATGAGATAAAGAGAGTGACAAGGGGGGGAGAGAAAGAGAGTGACAAGGGAGGGGGGAGAGATTGACATCCATCACACACACACAATCACACACAATGCACCCCTTGCACACAGAAAAACACACAATGCATTACACACACAGACACACATACACAAGCAATGCAACCCTTACACATAATGCATCCCTTACACAAACAGAAACACACAATGCATTCATTACACACACTCAATGCACCCCTTACACACACTCAATGCATCCCTTACAGACGCACACATTGCATCCCGTACATACACAGAAACACACCTTGCAGCCTTTACACATACAAACACAGATTCACACAATGCATTCCTTACATACATATCAGGACATCACCTACAAACTCATTGGTGGAACATGAAGGTGGACCTTGGGACCCAGACCATGAGCTGTGTAAAGGGCCCCCAAAAACTGGAACTGCTTCCCGTTCTCCCAGAACATTGATTTTTGTGACCACAGTTACAAACCGCCTCCAGAGAGCCTGTTCTACACCAGACCAGTGGAGCCAGACTGCAGCTAGAGCCCATCATCATCCTCATCTGGTTGTAAGTAGGCAATCTAGTATATTATTCGTCGCACTAATCTCTAATTTACCTCACATTAAAGAAACAGTATAGTCCCCAGAACCACTGCAGCTTAATGTAGTGGTTCTGGTGTCTATAGCCTGTCAATACAGGCCTTTTAATGTAAACACGGCGGCACTGCAGCACTGGCGTTAGATAACATGGCAAATCATATGGGTGGGGCATTGTGATGTCACATGGGGGGGCGGAAAAGTTTACTTTTGCCTAGGGCGGCAAAAATCCTTACACCGGCCATGGCTGGAGGGGGCTGTGTGAGCTGTGGCTGCACAGTACCCCATGGTAGTTAAGGTGCCGTGCGGCCAGTACAGCTCACACAAGCAAACAGCTGATAAACTGGAGGAGGAAAAGTGGGGCGGAGCTAAGCAAAATCGGAGGTGGCACCAAACTGGCGCTGGGTTGGGGCTTTTGGGAGGCAAGGGAGTGCCAAGCACAGGATCTGCCCCGGGTGCCAAATGCTCTAGGTATGCCCCTGCATCCCCCATAGTGTTCTTCCACATCAATCTCATTGTGTTCCATACCACTCCCCTCCCCCATACCAAAATGTTCCTTACAACCCCCCTCCCCTGTCCCATAGTGTTCCTTCCCACACCCCCTCCCCTGTCCCATAGTGTTCCTTACCACCCCCCTCCTGTCCCCATAGTGTCCCCTTTTACCACCCCTCCCCTGTCCCATAAAGTGTTCTTTTCCCTCCCCTGTCCCATAGTGTTCTCCTTACCACCCCTCCCCTGTCCCATAGTGTTCTCCCCTTACCACCTCCCATAGTGTTCTTCTCCTTACCAAAACCCCTGCTCTTCCCTACTAAAACCCCTGTCCCATATTGTCTTCATCCACCCCTGCCCCATAGTAAGTTCTCCTTACCACCCCCTCCCTCCTCCCATAGGGTTCTTTCTTACCACTCCCCCAACCATCCCTTAGTGTCCCTTTTTCCTCCCCCCCCACCCCCCCACTCACCCCTTTGGTCCCTACCTCTCTTTGTAGTGTGGCCGAGCGGAGCAGACCGTGGTTCAGGTCTCAGTGAGCACTTCCTTTCAGTCCGGCCGGGTACAGGAAACTAAAGTTCCTGCACTGCGGTGCGCACTGTGCAGCACTGACCCAGGAAGCACATCCAGTAGGCATCTGAGTGACTGCCACTAGAGGTGTCCTTAGGCAGTAAGGTAAACACTGTTTACATTAAAATACACACCAGAACAACTAGCTGTAGCTGTTCTGGTGACTCTAGTGTCCCATTAATGAAAGGACACTGTGTTGAAAATGACGTTCTGGAACAGTTCTCTGGTCCTGACATCCACTTTCCGCAAGATCTTACTAATATTACAACTCTCATTACCATTCCTAGCATATATGTTTTCAAGTGGGTGACTCATAACACAAATTAAATAGATATGCAACAAGGGAAAGAACATTGGAAAGTATTAGAACACTACGTCATGCTGTGGACAGAAAAACCTGGGGGAATTTACAATTTGCAATTTCCAACTTTACTTATACTTTAAATAAGTGTTAATGCAATAAAAATATGATTAAAAAGCAGGATTGAATTACAGACTTGTGTAGTCACTTTGGCTGATTTTGCTTTCTTTTAGCTGAAGTTTGCATGAACAGCACATAATGCTGTTAGGCTAGTAAACAATATTAAAAACATAAAAAGGGGAATTGATTTTTTTCTTTCTTATTATTATTAAAGGTTACTAGAACTTTTACAATTTTTTTTATTTATACTGCCCTAGTGGGCACTACTATGTCCACCTATCTTTTGTAATCCCAAATTCTGTAAATTAAGTAAAAACGTACCTTGAATCCAGTGCCAGAGTGTTTTTTTAAAGCCTATCCAATGTCACACTGCATCATGTCTTCCCTCTCTATTGTCCAATAAAATGCTTCTCACAGTGTAGTATTTAATTGGACCATTTTCTCTAGCTTAGGGAGCATGTACATGCTCTGAGCCATGGAGGAGAGGGAGTGGGGGTACTAGAAGAATTAGTGAGTTAGTGAGGGTAGTGGCGTAGCTGGGGGGTAAAGTGAACGGTCCACCACGGATGATACTTTTTTGGGTGCAACACTTTACTGGGCCTGGCATGCTCCAGAGCTGGTGGACCGGGCAGAGGTGCTGGTGGAGCTCAGCCATGCTACATGAATTAACCAGCAAGAGAGGACCACTATGCTGTACAAATCGACCAGCACCTCGGTACGGCCAACCGACTCTGAAGCATGCTACAGGCTGTGTGGAGGGGGTGGAGATCTGAGTCACATCATATCCCTGCTTCCTGTATTCATCACAGAGCGGCGGTGCATTAGTGATAAGGCTGGGCTGAGATAGGCAGCAAACTCAGGAACAGCCCCAGGTGGAAAAAGCTCTAGCTACACCACTGAGAGAGGGAATTACAAAAAAACAAAACAGAGGACTATAAATGGGAGGCAGGAAAGGCACAGAGGGCTCAAATGAAAGAGTAAGAGAGGGAGGGGAGATTTTGGTTTCTACTTGGAGACACACTTCCAGTTCAAGCTGAAACAGATTTCTACTACCATGACCACTTCTAAAATCAGAAGTGGTTATGGAGGTTGGAGTAACCCTTTAAGTGGGTGGACCTCAATAATAAAATTCAGGAGGAAGACCTAGTGTCACACTTCCCCACCCATGGACTCCCCAGGCTGGTGTGGGCGGTGGATGGGGGCTCTAAATAATTAAACAAAATGTAAATAATCATACCTACCCGATCTCCCAAATATGAGTGAACAGGGGGCCACTAAACTAAAATACCTGTACAAATCTAAAAATATATACTTACCATAAGTAGTTTTCTTTCTTCTAACTTCTTTTCATCAGCCCCCCCACAAAAAAATCCATAATTCCTGACACAACTAATATATTTTAGAAAAATATGAAAAAAACCTGATTTACAAAAAAAAGAAAACATTTTTTAAAATGCTATGCAACAAATTTAATTATTTTTTTCCCTGTGAGGGCTTGCTGCAGACTGAGCACTATGACAGCTATTAAATTATGTGGAAAAATCAGTAAGAGTGTTATAATTGTTGGTTGAAAACTTGAGAGAAGTGAGAGGGACATGCCACTATTTGGGAGTGTGGTCAATGGCATGTCCATTCTGCGTGCTAGCCAGTCATCGCAGTATAAAAGTTAAAATAAATAAGAATCCTTTGGGGGTTAAAATGTTTTCACAGGCCTTAACGTAAACCTTATATAGGGACTAGGCAGCAATGGCCGTCCAATTACCAGTTTTTAATGTTTAGTAGATATGCCACCACAAATCAAAATGAATTAGGAGGCATATGAAGGTTTATAGCCTCCACTACAGTAATATTAGGGTCATATTGATCCCCCTGGGATATATATATATATATATATATATATATATATAAATTTGTTAAACTGTTTAATGTGGCATTTGGTTTTGAAACACTAGCCAGCTGCCACATAATTAACCCTCTCGACAAGGTTTTTCAACTCTTTTCTCACTGGCTGTTAGCGCTGTAAGTGGGTAAATAGTTCAGATTTGTTTTTTCTTAATCCGGACAGGAGTCGAAGCCCTGAATTTCATTTATTTTGTTTGGTGGCTTTCAGTCCACCTCAAATCTGGACCAAATAGAGGCCTGTTTGGGACCTGATTTACAAAATCAAGTCATTGATTAATTCCATCAACAATGTCTGGATTTTTCCAAAAGGCCCGTGTGCAACCAGACCTTAGCGAATAATCCTGCTATGTAGTGTAACACAGAAATTTATAAAAACTGTGATATTTTTTTACAATACTAGTTGCATTCACGTGGCATAGCCTTAAAACTGGCTCTGGTACATATCGCCTCCAGTGACCTTGAAGGTGATGCCCTGCATCTTGAAATCAAGAGAAATCGCAATGTATTTTTCCTGGTAAAATATTTTATAAATACATTTTACTGGAGAGAATTCCATAATCAGTAGTGTATGTGCATGTATAGGCAACTATAGGTGCTGCTCTGGACATGATAATAAAAGTAAGCCAATCCTTGCAGGTTCCTCAGAGACCTTTTACTTAATGGGGAGCTTTGTGAATCGAATGTAGCTGCTTCCGTCTATGTTGTATTTGATCTTACAAGCTTTAAAATCACTTGTGCGCTAATGTCATAGGGACCATGTGACTATGCATTTATGTTAACCAGTAGAGTCTACTACTTACTAAATACAAACTTCACTAAAATTTGTGGGGGTTTTCTACCCATGGCAGAAATCATAAGAAAATCCAGGACTTCATGGCAACATCTGGATTTTTTTGTCGTGATCCACTACTCAGACGATCTTTAGAAAGAACAAGAGAGCCTGTGCTATGCGTATATGAGCTAGAGAAGCTTTTGTACACTGGAAAGGCAGGATGGAGTCATGTAGATGAAGTATGGCCAAGACTGTATCTGGGAGGACAGTAAGTTGTTTCCATCTTGATATATAATCTACCTTCGTTCAATGTTCATGACTTGTGGTTAAAAGGTCTACACATCAGACAGACATAAAAACTCTCAAAATAATTAAACTTCCTGGTGATATGGTTTAAATTAAAAACTCAAGGGAATATTCAACAAAAAAAAACCACATGAACCTTTAGACAGGTATTTTTTTCAGGAAACGGGTGATACTATGAAAGCATGACTTATAAGTAAATGTACAATGCATCCACCACATTTGTTTTTTAAATGTTTATAATTCCAATGCGCATTCATTCAAACTGTACACCCTGTTCCAAATTATTATGCAAATTCTATTTAAGTGTCACAAAGATTAAATATTTTGTTTTTCAGTTTAACTCATGGATGGCATTGTGTCTCAGGGCTCTTTTGATCACTGAAAACAATCTCGGATACTTGTGATAATAATGTTGCCAGGTGAGCCCAATTTAAGGAAAAACTACTAAAGGAGGGTGTTCCACATTATTAAGCAGAGCACCATTTTCATGCAATATGGGGAAGAAAAAGGATCTTTCTGCTGCTGAAAAGAGTGAAATAGTTCAATGCCTTGGACGAGGTATGAAAACATTAGATATTTCACGAAAACTTAACAACAAATTCAAGCAGAAACTGTCCAAAAACTCACAAGTTCAATGGATGCAAGGCTTGTGAAGCTGATATCAAATAAGGGGTCCTATGTTAAAATGTAATGTGACCTGTTAAAATGTTTAAAAAGTTAAAATGTTGTCATAAGTTTGATTGAAATAGCTTTTGATTTCAGTAAATATGCTGCAAACACAACAAATGACAATTTTCAGTTCTTTACAACCTATAAAGTGTTTTGAAACTTACTGTGCGTAATAATTTGGAACAGTGCATTGTAAGTTTTTTATGTTTAAAAAAAAACCTGTTATCATTAGGAGGTTTGTTCAATAAAATTTGAATTGTACTCTTAATAGTTGGTAACATGATAATAATCATCATAATTATGCTGACTGTTATTTACATAAATTATAAAAATATAATTTGCATAATAATTTGGAACAGGGTGTATATAACAGGTAATACACAGTGGCAGATATTTCCATATGACAATATTTTGAGTGTTTTCCATTAATGTCCATATATACTGCGCATCGGATCATTTTATGTCATTAACTTGGGGGGCAGGGTGGAGAGAACATGCATGTCCTTGTTGATTTGGTCTTTGGTGTCAACTATATTTTGTATATATATTGGCAAAGGAGTGAACATGACCACAATGTCGGAGCCGTTCATGCAACTAGGGAGATCGTGGGTGTTTCTTAGATATTCTTTGTTAGGCTATCTGGAGTCTCCTTCGAGGAGATTCTGTGGGTTATATGTATCAATGCATTTCTGAGATGTGCTCACCTGACGTGTTTGAGAGGTGTAATTCCCATATCGACCATGCTGCGGTTATAAATGGTTTTGGAGGCAAGTTTCTTCTTGCCATAATTACATAATTTTTGGTCAGCTATAGTGCTTTAATGCATTGAGCTTGTTTCGGCACCTCCAAGTTTCGCCAAAGTCTACTAATCGTTTGGAGGGCTGCTACAATAATGTGGTACATGAGGTATATGTGTGCTTTGGCGAGATCCATTGGGAATAGGTGTAATAAATAGGTTTCAGGACTGTGGGGGAGGCATACTATGTCTATACGCTATGTCTGACCAGTATTGCGTTAGTTTCTGGCAGGACCATTAAATATGCAGCATTGATCCCTTGTCAGTGAGGCAGCGCCAGCACACATCTGGCACAGTCGGGTTCCCCCGTTTCAGCTGCACTGGTGCCATCTATACAGTAGTTTACGTGTAATCTCCATATGGGAGGAGCATATCTCTATATGGGAGGAGCATATCTCTCACCTCTGTTGTAGCCAGTGTTATATACATTTCCATGAGGGCTTACAAACACAAAGGTGGAGATTGTTACTTTTTCTGTTAGTTCTCATATGGTTACATTTGTATCCTGTTTCGTTAATGTGGCATGCTTAATTACCAATTATTAGCTATTGAGCATATCACTTTTTTTTTTTCCCCCTAAACTGAATTAAAGCATAGAATATCCATGAAGGTGTTTACATGAGACTGAAGGTCTAGAGACTAAGGATACCCTTGCCACAGACCTCTGGTAACCCTAGAGAGGTGGATTTACTTGGTTATATTCCTATTACTCATCTCTCTGTATATACCCTTCATTTTATACATTTTTTCCTCTGTGCTTTTTTCTCACCATTTAGCATATCTCTCACTATTCCTTTTACGTTTTAGTTTTTGCTTCTGGAAGACAAAACTATTTTGCTATATTGCTATATTGCTGCCCGAGGCTCTCCCCGCCGGCCCATGCAGGGCTGGTGCTATTCAAGCACCAGCCCTGCTGATTGCCATCACGGACCGGAGGGGAGATCAGTGATCTCCCTCCCTGGCCCACACAGGTAGATTGCTGGGGGGGCCGGCAGGGGAGGGCGAGAGAACCCGGGGGAGCTCTTACCTGCAGCTCCACCGGGTTCTCCTCTAGCAAGCACAGAGCGTTACCAAAGGGATTTAGGTGTGATTATTTCTGATAACTTAAAGGTAGACAGACAATGTAATAGAGCAGGAAATGCTAGCAGAATGCTTGGTTGTATAGGGAGAGGTATTAGCAGTAGAAAGAGGGAAGTGCACATGCCATTGTACAGAACACTGGTGAGACCTCACTTGGAGTATTGTACACAGTACTGGAGACCGTATCTTCAGAAGGATATTGATACCTTAGAGGGTTCAGAGAAGGGCTACTAAACTGGTTCATGGATTGCGGGATAAAACTTACCAGGAAAGGTTAAAGGATCTTAACATGTATAACTTGGAGGAAAGACGAGACAGGGGGGATATGATAGAAACATTTAAATATATAAAGGGAATCAATACAGTAAAGGAGGAGACTATATTTAAAAGAAGAAAAACTACCACAACAAGAGGACATAGTCTTAAATTAGAGGGACAAAGGTTTAAAAATAATATCAGGAAGTATTACTTTACTGAGAGGTAGTGGATGCATGGAATAGCCTTCCAGCTGAAGTGGTAGAGGTTAACACAGTAAAGGAGTTTAAGCATGCGTGGGATAGGCATAAGGCTATCCTAACAATAAGATAAGGCTAGGGACTAATGAAAGTATTTAGAAAATTGGGCAGACTAGATGGGCCGAATGGTTCTTATCTGCCATCACATTCTATGTTTCTATCTATGTTTCTATGAACTCTAGCCTGAGCTGCAGGTTAGAGTTCACTCCCCTACTAGAACCACCAGGGACTGGAAGAGAAAGCAATGTCTCCCCCTCCCTCAGCAAAGGTAAGAAGGGAGGGGGGACATTAGCTATATTTATTTATTTAGTTATTTAATAATAATAATAAAAACACACACAAATTTACACACACAGCCCCCCTCACACACAGCCCCCCTCTTACACACACAGCCCCCTTACACACACACCCCCAATACACACACCCCCCCCTCTTACACACACAGCCCCCCTCTTACATACACAGCCCCCCTTACACATAGCCCCAAATACACACCGTCCCCAATACACACAGCCCCAATACATCCTGCCCCCCATACACACACATAGCACCCCTCACACAAAAACACACTGCGCCACTCACACACAAACACACGGCTCCCAATACACACACTGCACCCTTTACACACAAACACACTGCTCCCGATATACAAATTGCTACCCCATACATACACTGCACCCCTCTCACACACGCACTACCCCTCCATACACATACTGCGACCCTCACACACACTGCACCCCTCACACACATACACACTACAACCCCTATCCCAGCAGACCTGGGTAATTTATCAAACTTTTTTTTATTTAGAATTCTTTATTTTTGCATTGACAGACATTACAGCTTGTAAACATTATTGGGGCTTGTGCATAAGCCTAGCATCAAGAGGTACATTGGTATTTCAGTGATACTGGAAAAAGATAATCGTTTGGTTAGGTATACATTTGTTGTGCGGAAGCCCCTACTGCGTTGTTGACTGAAGCTGCAGTCCATCAGTGTTTTTCCATTTTCGTAAACACAATCAACTTCAAAACCTGGAAACACCCTATTTGGTGTTTTCCTTAAGGTAACTCGAACTTCTAAAACTTTGTGTCATAACCTGTTATTCTATTCGTCTCGTAGTTGTTATTCTCCTTCCCCACCCCACCCCCCCGATCTCCCCCCACCCCCAGATTATGAGCACCTGAGTGGAGCATTACTTTTCTTGCGTGAGCCGTGTTTGTGATGACTATTCGTTATCTGATCGTTTACACTTTGCCCTGTCCGATGTTGGGCCCTTGGACCCTCCGCTGTGCCTCCTTCCCACAATACATCTACCCATTATCGTGACTGTAAGTCCCCTTTGTGAAGAGCGTGTTAGATACCTAGTATTTTGCTCTTATGAGCCCCCCTGGTCTCAGATTGTTATAAGACTTTGGGCTTGTGTGTTTTACGCTCCCTACCGTGCAACTGCTGTCAGCCAGCCCCCCCCCCCTTTTTATTTTATTTATTTATTTATTTTCCGTGTATAGTTGCCCTCTTCTGTGAGGAGAAGGTGAAGAGAGAGGAGGGTGGATTTAGTTTAGGTATCAGGGAAGGGCGGGGAGGCAGCAGGCCACCAAAGGGGGGGGGGGGACTCGCCGGGCGCGCCTGCTGCATGTGTGTGTGGTGGTGGGTGCCACTTTGGTTGGCTCTAGTGTCTCATGGTGTGCGCGCCATTCTTTCTTGATATTCCTCCCACGGTTGCCACACCTTTGAGAAAGTGCCCATGGTGTTCCGTACCTGCGCTGTCAATTTGTCCATGGTGAAATTGTCCTGTATTTTATGGATGACTTTGCTCATAGTGGGGATGTTGGGGCTTAGCCATTGTTGGGTCAGTGCTCTTCTGGCTGCTAAGGTCAGTTTGTTAACTAGTTTCTGTTCTTTTGTCGTCAGGTCAGCTTGTGGTTTGGCTAGTAAAAATATCCATGGGTCTCTGTGTATTGGTCTCTCCAGGACTGCTGTCATTAATGTCTCTATTTCCGACCAGAATCTCTCTACCTTGGGACATGTCCACCACATGTGGATGTATGATCCTCTCTCACCGCAGCCTCTCCAGCAAGTATCTGTGGTGGTTTTCCCCATTCTATATAGTTTGGCCGGGGTGGCGTACCACCTCAGGAGGGTTTTATATGCCTGTTCCTGAAGTGTTACGCATATGGAGACTTTGGCTGTCGCTTCCCATATATCCCTCCAGTCCTCCCCTTCCAGTGTTTGGTGTAGATCTTTCTCCCATTGGGTGATATAGGTGAGGGGTTCTGCGTTCCTCTCCGGGGCACTAAGTTGTGCGTAAAGCCCGGTAATCAGTCCCTTGCGTGTGTTTTCTGTTATGCATAATCTTTCAAAGCTAGTCATTGGAGCCTTAGCTACTTCTCTTACTCTAGGATGGTTAGCGAAGTCCCTTAGTTGTATATATCTGAAAAAGTCTCTAGTCTGTAGTGGCGCTGCCTGTCTTAGTTCGTCAAAGGTTTTGAATGTGTCTCTGTCGTATAGGTGATAGTATCTCTGCAGGCCTGCATATTCCAGACCTTTGAAGTTCCTCGCCCGCATACCTGGTGTGAATGCCCTATTTCTCAAATATGGGGTGAGAGGTGAGGGCATTCTCGTTAGAACATATTTTTGAGCGTTGGCGTCCCATACTTTAATGGAGTTGAGTATAGCTGGGCAGTCTGTGAGTAAGGGTGGTCTGTCTGCTTTTGGTACCCAGATCCAGTACTGGGGAAGGTCTCTTCCCATCACTAAGGATTCAAGGTCTGCCCATCTGCGTCTATCTGTGCCACTCTATTATTTGGGCTAGCTGTGCCGACAGGTAATACAGGTGAAGATTGGGAAGTCCCAGTCTCCCTAGTCCCTTTGGTCGGTAGAGTATGTGTCGGGCTATCCTATGTCTTTTGTGTGCCCATACAAATTGGTCTATGTTGGTTTGTAGGGATTGGAGGTCCCCTTTCGTGACTTTTGTGGTCTTTTGTTATTGTTTTAATCATTGGTGTGTAGTTTTCCGTATACAGTCGTGAGACCTCTTTTGTTAGTTTGACCCCCAAGTATTTTATATGATGGTGGTTTAGCTTTATATGTGTGTCCTCCCTATCAGCACCGTGTCTTCCGCCGTCAACCCCAGTGGCATGGCTTCTGTTTTTTCCATGTTTATTTTATAGCCTGCTACCTGGGCGAACTCCTCTAGCAGCTGGACTAGACTCGGGAGGGAGTTCTCCAGGTCCGTGAGAGTGAGCAGGATGTCATCTGCGTACGCAGATACTTTATACTGCTCTGTTGCTATTGTCAGTCCCTTTATGTTTGGGTGTTCCCTAATCTTGTAGAGGAGGGGTTCTAGGGCTAGTATGAAGAGGAGTGGTGAGAGAGGGCAGCCCTGCCTTGTGCCGTTACTTAGCTGAAATGGTTTTGGGATCGCTCCTGGTATGGCTATTTGGGCCTGTGGATTCGTGTACAGTGATTTGACCGCTGTGATGTAGTTTTCTGGTAGGCCTATGTGACGCAATAGGGCGAACAAGTAGCACCATTGGATCCTGTCGAAGGCCTTCTCCGCGTCCAGCGATAGGACGAGAGAAGGCGTCCGAGTTTTACCGGCCCACCAGATCAGGTCTACTGCACGTCTAGTGTTCTCATACAGTTGCCTAGCTGGCACAAAGCCCACCTGGTCCGCGTGGACCAGCCTGGGCAGGATGTGACCCAGCCTGGTGGCCAGGATCTTGGCGTAGATTTTGGAGTCTACATTAATCAGGGAGATGGGGCGGTAACTGTTCACCTTCGTTTCATCTCGTCCCGGTTTCTGGATAAGAACCACATTCGCCGTGGCAAGCTCTGCGTTGGGACGTCCCCCCTCCATCCATTCCTGATACGTTGTTGTCATGTGAGGTGCTAATTCTGTTCGCAGTGCTTTATAGTAGGCCCCGTCAAACCCGTCTGGTCCCGGTGTCTTATTGCCCTCTATCAATCCTATGGCCCTGTCTACTTCTTCTGTCGTAATTAGTGACTCTAGGTCTATTAGGTCTTCCCTATTTGGCTTGGGTAGGTTTATGCTGTTCCCTGTTGGTTTCATCTTACATGATTTAATAGTTGCCGTAGGAAATTGGTGAATTCCTCGGCTATGTCCTGTGGGGAAGTGAGGGATTGGCCCCTTTCGTTGGTGATGGATGTGATGTGTTTGTGTTTTTGTTTGGGTCTGAGGGCTCTAGCTAATAATGTATCCATTTTATTGGACTTTTCATAAAAAAGTCTTCTCGATCGGGTGATATCTCTGCTTACCTCATCCAAGAGGAGATTCTTCAGCGCATGTCTGATGTTTTGTATGTCGTCTAGTGTGGGCTGTGTCGGATTCTGTTTGTGTTGCATTTCCGCTTTGCGGAGGGCCTTCTGTAGTTCGGTTAGTTTTTCCATTTTTTGTTTTTTATTACGTGTCGCTATTTTTATTAGGGTTCCCCGCAGGACCGCTTTGTGGGCCGCCCACGTCATAGTGGGGGATATTCCTACTGTGGTGTTTAATTCAAAGTACTTGTTTACTTCTGTCTTAAGTAGCGCTAGGGTGTCTTGGTCTCTAAGGAGGGAGTTAAGCCTCCATCTCCAGCGGGCCCGAGGCCCCGGTGTGTGTAGGGTCAGGGCAATGTCATCATATTTATGGCGGACGACTTGACCCATCTCATGCCTTGTTGATTCGTAAGGAATACGTCTATTCGGGAGTAAGTGGAGTGTACTGCTGAATAGTGGGTATAGTCTAGTGTGCCTGGGTGTTGCAACCGCCAGGGGTCCAGAAGCCCAGTGTTTTGTAGAAATTTGTTTAGTAAGCGATCCTGTCCTCCTCTACCCTGTGATCTGGGTTGACCCGGTTTGCCCCTGCGGTCGACCGCGGGACACGGCGCTGCGTTCAGGTCGCCCCCTAGGATCAGTATACCCACGTCAATGAGTTTATGAGCTTTTCTAGGGTTGTCAGGGATGTTAGGGGCATATACGTTTATGAGGTGGTATTTGGCGGCGTTGATCAGTCCCGTGAGTATTATAAACCGTCCATCCGTGTCTCTGTGTATGGACTGTATTACCAGTGGGCATCGTTTGTGGATGACTATTTCTTCTTCCTTTGTCTTACGGAGCGAGCGGGCCGCGTATGCTTTCGTATATATGTGGTCTATGATTTGAAGCTTTGAGGTCTTAGGGAGGTGGGTTTCCTGTATGAATGCTATGTCTGCCTTCTGTCTGTGTAGTTCCCTGAGTAAAAGTCTGCGTTTGTTTGGCACATTAAGGCCGTTTACATTGAGTGATGTAATTTTAAGTTCCATGTGATAATGCGTGTGGTGTGCTAGTGTACCTTGAGCATCTTTGCCTTGTTGGTGCATAGTCCGGAGTGTCCGCCTTGTTGTTGCGCGCCGCCCGGCGGTCCCCCCCGGGGTGGTTGCCGAATGTGCCTTGTCTCAGCGGAATCGTGGGCAGGGGCGGGAAAGGAAAGAAAACAGGTCATGAAAACACATATTGATATCCTAATAACATAACCCATAAAACAGTTATCCCAACTTAGTGGAGGATGACCCTCCGTGATCCTTATACCTGTCGAATCTGATATCCCGGTCTTATCTCTCGCCAGGTCGATCGGGGGTGGCCACCCGCCGCGTCAAGAAGTGTCTCAAACGGGGCGGGTGTACAGCCCCAGAGCACCCCCGCGAGGCTCTATGCTTGTGTCTAACTTGTCGTGGGTGTTTACGACATAGGGTGTGACGATCACCGGCTCCTGTGAGTCTGTCTGCTGATCTGTATAGGTATGTCCTGAGGGAGGGGGTGTGAATGACCCTTCGCCTGTCCTGCGGTTTTCCTCCGTGTCTTAGGTATCTGATCTGCTCCCTCTCCCTGGGCCCCTTCGTTTTTTTATTTTTTTTTCCTTACTTGCTTCCCATCACTTTGTGCCACTTTGTGCTGGTTGCGCAGTGCTGGTTGCGCAGTTGTGTCCACTTAAACCTTTCCCCGGTGGGGGGGGGGGGTGGATGTATGTGTGTGGGTGCTTGCCCTCCCCCGCCTGTCACGTCCAACTTGCCTCTAAAGCCCTTGCCTGGTTTCTGGGCCATCACCTGGCGGGAAACAGCTGGGTCATGCCCGACTTGAGAGTCTACAAAGATAGGGAGCCCTCTGCCATCAGTTCTATGGCCGATGGTTTGGTCTGGTCTATGCCTTTCGCCTTTTAATCAGACACCTCCCGGAGTATATGTGGGATGGCTTGTTGTTAACCCCAAAAGGGTTGTTAATTATACCATCCCCCTAAAGTTAGCGAGTTTTCCTGCTTGCTTTTTTTTTTTTTTTTATTATATATGGAGTGGCTATACTCGTACCCTTCTCCATTCGGGTAATCTCCCCCTCCCTCCCCTCCCTGTCTTTCGTCAGACCCCATGTCCCCTCTATCCCCTACCACATTTAAATTTTAACTATGTCCACAGTGTCCCTTCAATGTGATGCATCTTATATATATCAACTTGCGTGTTGTATTGTCCATTTTGCATGTCCCTCTGGTGCAGGTCGCCGTTTTTGTTGCCTATCTCGCTCTGCGTTCCAGCCATTCCCTGGGGAGCAGGCCTAGCACCCCGGCCCCCTCGGTGGTAAGGCCAGGTCTCCTGGTACCTCAATACCCAGTTCCTGGAGGACGCCTCTGGGGTCCATGGATGGTGTCAGCACTGTCGGTCTTGGGCCATTAAAGATGAGCATCTTAAAGGGGAAGCCCCATGCGAAGCGCAGACCTTTGGCTCTGAGGAGGTCAGCGATGGGTTTCCATTCTCTTCTTCTTGCGAGGGTAGTTGGAGCGATGTCTTGGTAGATCTGTACTGCCGTTCCTTTATACATGTATTGCTGGAGCCTGCTTTGCTTGAGAATTGCTTCTTTCGTGGAAAAAAAGTGCCACCTGATGATGACATCTCTGGGAGGCCTGTTTTGCGGTCCATTAGCTTGCAGTGCCCTGTGTATTCTGTCGATGTGCCACAGCTGATCTGGTATCTGCAGTAGGCTGGCGCGGAAAATCTCACGGAAGGTCTCCATCCCCGACCTCCTCTGGTAGGCCTCTTATGCGCATGTTGTTGCGCTGTGTTCTATTAGAGTTGTCTTCCAGCTCCATTTCCAGTTCAGCTACCCTGGTGAGTAGTGCGTTTGTGGTTGTGGTATTATCATTGTGTGCTGCTACCACATCTTCTAGCCTGCTCTCTAAGGCCTCTGTACGAATGCTATGGCCTGGATTTCTGCCTTCACCTCCCTAGCTGATCTGTCTATCTCCCCTGCCAGGTACCCCTTTACCTCCTCCAGAGAGTGGAGTATAGCGTTCTGGGGGTCCTCCGTGTGCCCAAATAGGGAGGATGTCGGCGTGGCCGGTGATCCAGGAGTGGAGGTGCCCGTCGGGCTTTCCGCGCCATGTGCACCACGTGGCGTGGGCTTAATGGCGGCCAGCATGTCCGCGACAGAGGGATTGCCGCCTCGCTGTTTCTTCGCCGCCGCCTTCCTTTGTGACATGTTGCTCGGGGGGCACTGCGGTTTTGCCGATACCGGTGTTGTGCGTAGGGGTGATTTTAACAGATAAGTGTGGGTTGCCGGGCGGGTAACTGAGCCTCTGGTGCGGAGCTCCGAAGTTAGTCTGCCATCACTCTCGGAGTCCAAGCCACACCCCCCCTATCAAATGTTTTTTTAAACGGTTTGACTACTTACTCTGGGAGGGCACCACAGCAACTCCTGGCACCAAAACCACTACAGAGAGCTGTAGTGGTTATTGTGCCTGGATTGTTAATTAAAATAATCTGCCAGTGCCCCTCCCGAGATTAGCTTCTGGATCCGCCACTGCTGGAAGATCACACTAGGCTCTGTCGTAACCAGTGCTGCATATACTTCCATGACGGCTTAAACACATAAGGGGGGAGATTGCTACCTCTTCAGTTAGTTCTCGTACTGCCAATCCATACCCGTTTGGAATTAGTGTGGTATAGCTTTATTATTGACTATTATTGAGCATCTCACTCAGTTCTGTTCCCCTCCTATCAGGCTACACTGTTTAATTTGTCCTAGTACTTTTTAGAGTTAATACATTTTTTTGTTATTTATTATTATTTTCTCCTTTAGGATCTTATTGGAGTGGATTGGAAATTTAACCTTGTGGTCACTTTCTATTTAAGTGACACCTTTGGTTCTCTACTATTTATTGTATTTCCTCGGGTTATCCCCTATTTTTCCAGTCTAGGTGACCTTTTTTTGTGGGTTAGGTACGGGACGAGGGTGTTACACTAAACCCCTATCCTTGACCGCTCCCCTTCTTTTTTTTTGTTTATTTTCTATTTTCCTTTCTTTTTTTTCTATAGGTGTGTACCTTTCTGTGTCGCTCTATCTTCCCTTTATTCTTAGTGTATATTTAATGTGCATTTTGTGTCATTTCATTCTTAATCATTGTGGACCTTTATATGAGGATAATTATACTTCACTTCGTACATTGCTTAACTTATTTCCTGTGTACTTAATCAATGTCCTAATATATTTAGACTTTTTCCATATTTTTTACTTATATTTCTTTACTTAAAAGTTCCTACTTTTACTTGCTTATCTTTTCTCATTCTCCCCCTGTGCTTCTAAACTCAAAAAAAAAGAGAACGCCCGCCAAAAAAAAAATTATTTCATATATTCTTCTCTTTCTTCTCCCATACTTGAGGAGTTAAGTTTCACTAGTGCCAATTTTTCTTCCCTTCCTCTCTTTTTTATCTTTTATTTTCTTTAGTACGTTGGGGCCTCTCTGTTTATTAACTGTTGATTGGAGCTGCTTTCAATTTTGTTTGCAGTTAGCCAGCTTTTTAGATCTTCTGCTCAGTAAATAGGAGTGATCTTTTCTTCATGTGATGTAATAATTTTCGTGGGGTACCCCCATCGGTAATTAATATTATGTCTCATAATTAATGTACCATCAGAAAAGGTTTTCCTCTTTTGTCTGGTTGGCCATGACAGGTCCTGGAATATTTTCAGGCTTTCGTATTCTTCTGCGCGTATGTTACCTCTTGTAGCTCTCAATATTGGTGTATTAAGTTTGGAAGAGGCGCAGCATATCAGTATATCTTTTGGAAGGTGGTCTGAGACACCTTTAGGTTTATTCACTCTATGGCATCTCTCCATCATAGGAATTCTGGCGTCCCATTCCACATCCAGGTGTTGTTATTATTTGTTCTGATACTCCTCTGATTCTTAAGTTGTTCCGTCTGTACCGTTCCTCCGAGTCTACGAACTTGTTCTCCGTGTCAGCCATTTTCTTTTCTAGTGCCAGATGTTCTTCTTTATGGGCTTTTTCCTTGTATTCCATCCCGTTTAATTTCTCTTCTATCCCTTGTATTCGTAGGTTAAGAGTCAGCAGTTCTGGGCGGTGCCTGGCAGCCATCCTGTTCAGACGCCATCTAAACCTGCTCTCCCGAACCCGGAGATAATCAGCAAAAAATCCCCAAAGCAAAGCCCCATCGCGCCTCGACAGGCACCCAGCACTGACCAGCGATACGTACCGCACCAATTGATGCCTTTTTTCCAGGCACCCAAGCAGCTCAGGCAGAGGTGCAAATCTGCGGCCTACCGCGCAACGCCAATCCAGGGCCTAGAGGCCTACCTCGGCGGAAGCCTCCTAGAGCACTACACATCCAACCCGGACACGGGTACCACTGCCATGGGCTGCCATTCACACAAAGCCACAGCTGGCCCCAACACGCAAGGCAGTGATATAGGGGAGATGTGGCTTCGGCCTGCACAATCAGAGCCAGCACACACCACGCATCGATCCCCCGCCGGCCCGGCACCCAAACCCGACCGAGGTGAGCCAGCCATGGCAATGGCTCCCCCGGCGAACCACCCGCTGAAACCTGAACACCATAAAGACTCTGCCCCCACTACTAAAGGGGACCTAAAAGCCCTCCTGATCAACATAAAAAAATTGCTGGTGGCAGACGTCGCAATGGTTAATGCTGACATACAAAGTGTAACGGAAAGGGTTGGAACTGTGGAGGCAGACATCACAAACGTCCAGGACATAGTGTCCACCCTCAAGGACTCGGTCCAATGACTCCAAGCAGTGCAGCATGTACTAGCTGGTCAAATTATGTTCCTGGAGGACAAACAATGTCAGACGCATATCAAAATCAGGGGTATCCCCACCGCGGTCACGACTGAGGAGCTGCCGCACTACACACGGTGGCTGCTCACAACAATATTACCCCAGGCAACCGCCAAGAAAATAGCTCTGGACAGGATCTACAGAGTGACGAGCTCCGTACACCTACCACCCAACACACCCAGAGATGTTATTCTGGTGACGGTATCTGACAAGATACAAATAATGACTGCCATAAAATGTAAAACACTGCTGGCTTTTGAGGGTGTCCAGCTCTCCTTCTTCCAGGACATTGTATTTAATGTTTCCTTCACATCTCCGCTTTTGTGCCCAGTTATATTTTTTCTTTCTTATTCTATTTCACATTCACTTATTCCTATTTTAATGGAGCCACATTGCTGAGGCGAAAGACCTTTGGATCCGTGACAACCGCGTTGCGCAAAGCAGGCATAGCCTACAGATGGGAGAATATGGGCGCACTGCTCGTCCATCACAACGGGACTGCACACCACCTCGCATCCCCATCCAGAGCCCCCACCTTCCTAAGGGCAGTGGGACTAGAGCCCCCACATCTCACCTCCAGGACCGCAAGCCAACTGGAGAGCTGGGACCCAGAGGACAGCACCACTCCTGAACAATCAACACGCGACCCACAGACTCTAACCATCTGACCCTGCACAAGGACTGAACCCAGAGACAATATGCATGGCACGGTTACAGCTGCCAAAAGGAGGACCTAGACCTCATATGATGAGGGGTAATAAATCCCCTGACCACTAACTTCCATGTTTATTTTTGAATCGTACTATTGCAACTCTCTCATCCCATGTTAAACTGCATGCAAGTCTCTGTGTTCCTTTCCTTTTTGTTTTTTTTCTTCTCTTTTTCTTTTCTTTGGTATCTCTTTTATTTTTAATGCAACCGCAGTCTAGGGGCCCCTACTCTCAAAAAAGCGGCAGACAGGCCCCCACGATTGATAAAACACTGACGCCCACTCTGGTTAATGCCACTCCGCCCACCCCGCCACCCCCAGGGATAGATGAGATGCCACACAAGGTACAATGCACACCGGAGCACCCTGCACACATGTTATCCCAGCTAGCCTGGAACTATTAAGAGCTCCACAGGCGAGTACACACAGGCATCCAAACCCACACACTTGAACCAGCCTGTAACACATGCTCCCACACACACTGACACATCGTAGCCCGAACTAGGGAGCATCCTTACACTCTCACACTTGGAGTAAACAAGGGGAACAACGAACATGCCACCATACCTGTTGCAACCTTGTCGACCCCTGGTATGTCACCCAACTTGCTTGCTATATGAAAATGTGCTTACAACTTTGAAACATCTTTGTTAACGCTATTTCATTGTTCCGCTCGAAATTAAGTCATACCACTGTCTCCGTATAATTCTGTTAACGTGATAAACCAAGCACACACAAATAAAGAATAAAAAAAATTTTTTTTTAAAGAGTCAGCAGTTCTTTCTTAATATCCAGGGTATTAATCTGTATTTCTTTTCTCAATTTCCCAAATTGTATCTAGGTGTCTGAGTAGATGGTCATATTCGTTTCTTCCTTCTCTTGACTCTTGATTTTCCTCTGTTTGTGCTTTGTTAATATCTCCCTCTATTTGATACGAGAGATTCCTCCAGGTTTGACTTATTACCCGGGGGATGTGGTGAAAAAAAGGAAAGGCGTTTTCCTGTTTTTTTTTCTTTTTTCAAATGCTTGCCATTTTGTATCTTTTTAGTAGCCATTTTGTTTCTTTGGTTGGTTTAATCCCTCTCTAGAGATTGTAAACTTTTTGGAATAATTATATCTTGTTTCTTAGGATATTCCTTTTGTATTTAATGTTTCCTTCACATCTCCGCTTTTGTGCCCAGTTATATTTTTTCTTTCTTATTCTATTTCACATTCACTTATTCCTATTTTAATGGAGTAGTGAATTTAATGCAAAAAAGAATAGGGATTGATAAGAGGGGGCTGGAAGGAACAGCAATAGAGAAAAATAAATAAATAAATTAAACAAACAAAAGACACCACAGAAAGTATTTACCCGACCCACTTAAGACTGTCAGGCAGTCAACACAGTGAGCAAAATTAAATGAACTTTAGCTCATATATTGCTCCCTGAATTCTGCTTTTTATAATGTCCTATATTTTCACCTCTTTCTCAAGCGCCCTTTAGTAATCAAATGACCAAATATTTATGCTATTATATTTGTACAATCTCCTACAGACTATGTGCATACATTTTTGTAACATTGGGCACTTAGCTTTTGGAGATGTACTCCAGATCTGCTTTATTGCAGCTTGCTGTTGTACTCCCTTGGTAACCTTATCAGTGGAGAAGCTGGCTGTAGTACATAGCTCTGTCCAGCAGAAAGGTGAGTAGCTCCCTACTTCTCAGCCCAGCATCTGGTCCTTTTTGACCGTTATGTGGGGATCCATGGAGCACCCCAGGTAATACACCAGGTAGATTGAGCCATCCCTCTGCTCTTGGTCGGCTCCCTGGATCGCCCCCTCAGCCGCCTTCCACAAGGACGCAGGCAACGTACGCTACGTCATCGCTCCACCCCCGACATTGTAAACTAACAAGTCTTAATGAAATATATATGCTATTCTCCGAGCAGAAGGATAGGCAAGACATGGTGAGTGTAAAAGAGTAAGCTTATGCTACATTAGTATGACACAAGAGTTGTGATACAACTGGGATGTTATTAGAGTATGCAAGTTACAGGAGATAAAGGGAATAGGCGATAGGAGATGAAATAAAGGAACACTGCAACATTAAAAATAAATTTTTAACATTGGAATGTTTTGGGCTTTTGTTTCTTTTGTGGAGAAGCGGGGTTAAGATTAAGGGCCCCCAATTTTTTAATAAATAAATATTTTGAGAGAGGAAACTGTTTTCATGACACAGTTGTGCTTCACCCCTGTCAGATCATTAATGCTGATGATCTCAAGGTCAATCCAATGCTTCTCTTTGAGAAACATTGTGGATATAGGGCACACATTAATTCACTCAGCCACTAGAATCTCAGCACTGAATCTAATTATTATCTAAAACATCAGGTAGTTGCAGATAAGATAATTTATAAAAGTGCTGATTGCTATTGAAATTGGAACTTTTGAAAAATAAGAAAAAGGGGAAAGTCAGTTTACCCCTAAAGCTTTAGTGGACTGGATTGTTCTATTAAGAACATCAACAGCAAATAGTAGCCCACTGCTTGATAGTGTAACTCCTGCTAATTCTGGGCAGACCAGAATGTAAGTCCTGGTACTAGCCTAATTGGAAAAAACAAAAACAAAAAAAAAAAAAAGTATAAAAAAAAAAGAAAAATACATGTCACAGTGAAGCATTAGTAATGCCATCTTGGAGTTTTTGACACACACATAAGGCACTCACCTTTCAATCTTGAGGTTTATAATGAGGTTGTCTGAAGCCAGGGTTGGCTTTATTTATACATGAGTTACTATTATGTTTCCTAGTAGATGACAAGCTAAGAAAACTAATGAGATATACCTACAGAAACATCAAAGCACACATTTCAGAGCCTCATGCAATATTGCATACAATATAAAGAGCATATATAAAAAGAAAACTGACAGTATAATATGCACAACGTAAACCAGCATTTTTTTAATTTAAGTGCCTCTCTTTCCAGGGAAATTGCAGCCAACAAAGGTGAATTGTTGAAAAAGTGCATCACGCATGTTCTAAATGCCTCGCACAGTCGCTGGAGAGGGGGTGAAGATTACAAAGGAATGAATATTTCATACATGGGTATAGAAGCACAGGATTCACCAACTTTTGATATGAGTGTCTATTTCTACCCTGCAGCAGATTTTATTAATAATGCCCTAAGAGAAAAGGGAGGTAAGTAGTGTGATTGGATCTATCCTAATTCCAGGCAAAAACACAATGAAGAAAAAAAAAAAGGAAGAAAGAATATACATTTGAGTTGCTTAGCTATGAACACCAAAGTTTTAAATCAATATCTCATGTTTTATCAATTTGGGAACATTGCATCTTTTGGCCCACAGATAATTCACTTTCTTGTTTATTAGAATGAAAGGCATAAGAGAATAGGCATTGTTAGCTAGCAGATGGGTGGGCTAAGATTTAGTCAGGCAAAAAGTTCATGGTGGAAAAAAAAGAACTCCACAGACCCTGTCCTTGGGACAAAGGGCAGTAAATTGATTGGCTTAACTCACAGGTATGTTTGTAACTTCCTTAAATAAACAGATTTGGGAAAATTCGAATCGTTTTATTTGCATTTTAAAACAATAGTGTATTCTAGCTTGGGCTGTCAAGACCCACATTGCCACATTTGTTAAGACACAACTACAGCTTCAATACAGTTTTCCCTGTATTTACCTTTAATTTTGTCACTGCATGTGATAGAAAAACAATCAGGAAATATACCGTAATTCCCTCTACCAGAAGAGATGAAATTGAAGTATGAATGCTCCAAAGACCAAAATTCCAAACTCATGTGTAACTTCACAGCATATAACGCCTTTCTTGACTGAGTCCAAAGGTTGCACTAAGATGTCACCACCAAATAGCATATCTATGAAGCATGTAAAGAGGCTTGGCAAAATTAGGGCATGACCCTATAACCCTATAGCCACCAAAACTGGGCAAATATATACATGGGGGGTGTTGCTGTACTCTGTGACAGTAGCAGAATACAAATCAGTAGTCTTTACAGTAGTGAGACATACATGGTCTGTGAAATGAACTCTGAAGATGACACATTTGCAAAAGTCACAAAAGATTAAATATACCCAGCAGTTTTGGCTGGTTGGCAATGTAATGGTTTGATGAACACTGCCAAAATGCTGATAGTTTTAGTGCCCTGATACGCTTACTTTCTACAACATTATATTTTTGTATAGCGATTTTGGATTCTGCAACTGCTATTAACTTTATTGCTAGCATGCCTAATTTGGGTAAGCATTAGTTTTGAAACCACAATTCACTGCTTGCCGTATAGCTTTCAAAAATAGATATAAATCCTAGACACAATGGGCATTTTTAGATTCGGGACTAATAAGTGAATCTATTTTGATTTGTTTTTCTTTAGTTGCGATAGCTTTGTAGAAGTTATGAGCAAAATATTTTAGATTTTTTGAGTATTGTGTTAAATACCCGGGGCAGATCCAGAACCTAATCTCAGGAGGGGCACTGGGTGATTATTTAAAGAAACAATCCAGGCACAATAACCACTACAGCTCACTGTAGTGGTTATGGTGCCATGGTGCTCTCCCAGTAGTAGTAGGAAATAGGGGCAGTAGTGTGTGTGTGAGGGGTGCAGTGTGTGTGTGTGTGTTTATTTGGGTGCAGTGTGTGTGTATTGGGGCAGTGAGTTTGTGAATGTATTGGGGGCAATGTGTGTATTGGGGGGGGCAGTGTGTGTGTATTGAGGGCAGGGTATGTGTGTATGTGTGTGTAATGAGGGCAGCCTGTGTGTGTGTTTGTGTGTGTGTGTGTATTTAGGAAGGTTGTGTGTGTATCGAGGGGCAGTGTGTGTGTGTGTTTGTCTATATTGGGGAGCAGTATGTGTGTACGTGTGTGTGTGTGTGGTGCAGAGCAGCACCACCAACAGCAAGGAGAGAGGGGGAAAACAACCAGAATGATTTATTACAGCAGTGTTGAACAATGAATCTGAGAAGGAAAAGACAACAGATGAGGCTTAGGTACAAAAAGCCAAAATAATGTGTTGGGGACTTTTGACCTGCTATGGAAAGCAAGTCTGTGCTTTCCAAATATGGGTATGCAGGAGAGGTGTGTCTTAGAGCAAGTATAACACCCAATGAAAAGAAGATTGATGCTCTCAGCAGGAGACAAGAGTTACAGGAATAAGTGAAAATATGATATTTTAATACTATTTAGGGAAATCCTGTAACATGATTCAAGCCACATGGTAGAAAACTGCAAACCTGTACCCAGCATGACAGTTTCACATTACATAAACATATAGGATAACATAGGGGATATCTTTCCTTTAAAAAAAAACTCACATGCCTCTATATTATGTATGGGCACACTTAACCCCTTCCCGACCACAGACATACTGGGTACGTCGGACAAAAAACGTCCGTCAATGACCGCGGATGTACCCAGTAAATCCGCAGCAAAAATGACCCCTGGACTTACCTGGACTGGTGATCCTGATCAGGGGGAACTGCCGAGACCCCAGCAGTCCACTTGCAGCAGCTCCGGCCATCGCAGCGTTCCAGGGCAATGTGATCACCATGATCACATGGCCGCAATAGGAGTCTATGGAGCTGCCAGCAGGGGCACTGCCTGAACTGTCAAGCAGTCCCTCAGGCACCTAAAAATTTGACATATATATATATGGAGAAACTACACCTTTTGTTTCATTACCTTTGATTTTCCTAGTTCGGTAGATAAAACTACTGAACATCGACCAACCCCCTGGCTCATTAACTAAAAAAGCAGACTGCATGTTAAGTGCTCTCTCTGTGTGGCCGCCGTTCGTATAGAAGAAAACGCCATGTGCAGGCGAAAACGGTGGCCATTTTGTTTGCACGAATGGAGGCAGCGGGATTTGGTCATTGAGTGTTTGGAACTAAAATCGGACATTCGACTTCGCGAGCGCCTGCTTCTGTTCATCGACCAACCAGGAGAGCGCTATTCAGTAGGTTTATTCCCACAAACTAGGGTAACAAATGATACCTATGGGCCAGGGGAACCGTTCGTGGATTTGTTCAGTTTTTAGACTTTTCTAAATAGACCGACCGCACAGCCTAATTTAATGGAGCTATTTCTGGGCAGGAGCCTCGTGTGCGGTCGTCAAATTAAGACTTCCATGGAACTCCCAAACCCCTGAACCGATCTGGGTGATTTTTTAATATATTGGTTCCCCAGATCAGGGCTATCAGGGGATATGTCTTTGTATCATGGGTCATAGCTTACAAACAAAACACACAGAACTGGTATCACATAGGATAATAAAGAGAAGAGTGAAATTACCCATAAACAAATTAATTTAATATCATCTAGAGGGTCAGAGAGCCTATAAGAGTCTGTCCTGTTCTTGCTTTCAGCCTAATTTGGCAGAATTGTAACACATTTTTCCATAACTCCAGCCCTTTACCAGCCTCTAATCTCTTCAATAAATTTAGAATAAAACACACATAGTTCCTCATTAGAGAAATCGTTGATCAGGAGTAGGCCCTTTTCCATCTCAAGTTGGTATAATAGTTGTGCTTTAACTTGACCTTTATTTGGGATCTCCATATTTTTCCAGAATCTGGCAATTAACATTTTAGTTGCCATTAAGCAATGAACAATCACCAATTCTAGATCACCATGTATTTCTAAGCCAAAGAGATGGAGTAGGGCAAATTCCGCTTTATACTCAAAGCGTATACCTCCAATTCTAAAGATAAGATCAAATGTAATATTCCAAAGGGGTTTAATTCTGGGACAAGCCCACCAGATATGGAGTAAAGTCCCTTCTGGTTGGAAACCCCGCCAACAATTAGGAGGGTTAGAATTGGATATTTTAGCAAGTCTAACAGGGACCATATACCATCTAAACAACATTTTAGTGAAGGTCTCTAAAATATTGAGATTATGTATGTATTTCTTCGTCATCATGAATGCTTTACACCAATTATTGTATGGAATAGATGTAACTAGATCTTCTTCCCATTCAGTTAAAGCATTGGGTATGTCCGGGACCCCCGTGAGTTTTCAGATCTATCGCGAGAGAGAAAACCTTCACAGCTAGACCTGAAAAAATCTTCCTAAATAAATTGCCCCTACCGCCACCTAGGGAAATAATATGATCTTTAAGGAAACTCTTAAGACGCAAATACTTAAATATTTCTTTAGAGGATAAGTCCAGCTCCCTCCTAAGAACTTCAAAACTTTTCAGTTGCTGTCCGATATATAGATCTTTTATTCTGTAATTACAATTTTTATACTAATGCCCTAAACTTACCTCTAACATAAACTGTTCTAAAGAGTAAGATTCTCATGGAGTTTTTTATTGATCTTCAAGATATTTTTTATATTTGTCCATTCTTTGAAAGTTTGAGATAGGGACAGAACAGACAAGACTGAGATCTCATGCAAATCTTTATTCTGGCTTACTTCTCTCCACAAAAGAAGCTTCAAATTATCCAAACCAATTCTAGCTGACTCAATTTTATACCAGGCTTGTTTTCTTGAATCACTTAATTGTAAATGGCAAGCATGGACCAACATATTAGCCTGATAGACTTGAGTAATCAGGGGGTATCCCAATCCCCCCTGCTGGGTCTTCCTTGATAGAGTGTAAGTGTTGATTCTAGGACGTTTCCCTTTCCAGATATAAGATGTAATACTATTTTGGACCATGTTCAGCCAAAAGGGAGAAATCGAAAGGGGAAGCATGCTAAATAGGTAAGCCCATTTGGGGATTATATAGGCTTTAATAGTATTTATCCTTCCCTACCAGGAGATCTCATGGGCTCTCCATTCTTTAAGTAAGGCATTGGTGTCTTTTAATAATTTAAAAAAATTAATTTCCATAGTCCACCTTGTATCTGCGGGGATAATCAACCCCAGATATAAGATCTCTTTATTCGTCCATTTGAAATCAAAATCGCTTTTTAAAAGAGCTAGATTATCTTTTTGAATATTGATAGCCATAGCTACTGTTTTATTCATATTTAAACTATAATTAGATATCCTGCTATAATTATCAAATTCTTGCATTAAATATGGGAGGGAGCTGAGGAGGTCAGTGATAGAAATTAAAATATCGTCAGCGTACAAACATATCTTCCATTCATCCTCCTGAACTCCCATTCCCTTAATCCCTGAATTATGTCTGATATTATTGGCCAGCGGTTCTATAGACAAGACATAAAGTAAGGGGGAGAGGGGACAGTCCTGCCTTGTCCCATTGGAAATACCGAACCACTCTGAACATAAATCGCGGGCGGTGGGGTTTGAATATATAGCACCCACTGCACCCATAAACCATCCTTCAAAACCAAACTGTAATAGGGTTCTCTTCAAGAACTCCCATCCAACCCTGTAGAAAGCTTTTTCTGCATCCACCGACAGGGTCAGGAGAGGAGTTCCTTCTTGCCTAGCCCAATCCAATATGTCCAGCACCCTACGAGTGTTATTGGAAGAATGACGCCCCATCATAAACCCTATCTGATCATGATGGATCAAAGATGGCAATACCTTTTTCAGCCTTTCCGCCAGTATTGCGGCATAGAGTTTGACGTCTACCAAAGAGATAGGACGGTAATTGCTCACATCAGAGGGCATTTTTCCTTGTTTCAAAATTGGAGTGATTTATGCCCTTAATAGCTCAGAGGAGGCAGATCCTTTGGACGCCATTTCATTAAAGGTGTCAGTTAGAAGCAGAATGAAAGGTTTGTATAGCCGTCCGGGCCTGGGGCTTTATTATTTACAAGTTTATTAATTGCTACATCCACTTCACTCTGAGAAATAATTCTATTTAACATTGCCTTCTAGTCGTAAGAAATTTCTGGTAACTTAGAGTTTTTCAAGTAATTCTCCATCTTAGCTAGATCAGGAGATGTATTCAGGTTATATAGACTCGCATAAAAGATCTAAATTTTCCAGCAATTTCGTCTGGCTTGTAAATATAATTACTTCCATCTACCAATTTAGAAATCTTTTGATCAGCCACTCTTTTCTTTAACTTATTTGATAATATAGAGTCAGCTTGATTGTTCTTATAATAATATTTAATATTGAGCTTATTGATGTTGCTCTCTATCCTATTCTTAATCTGGACATTTTTTTTTTTTTTTTTTACATTGCTTAATAGATAAAGCTCTCTGTTTGTAGTAAGATTGTTTATTGGCTTTAGAAAGATTATAAAATTCTATATATAGGTCGGACAGAGTGTTATTTAGGTTCCTTTTCTGTTGGCTTGCTAATTTGATCCAATATCCTCTAATGACTGCTTTGCAGGAACACCAAAGGCATTCTTTGGAGATCTCATCAGATGTACTTTCTTTAATGAAGAAATCGATTAAGTTCTCTATATGATCAATATTAGCTTTATTTTTTAATAAATAATCCACAAGTCTCCATATCGGAGGGGATCTAGTATTGGTCATCACCAACTCAGCAGTTATCATATCGTGATCGGACCAAGTATTTTCAACAATAGAAATTGAAGAGATCGCCTTAACTAAGTCTAAATTGCCCAGAATCATATCTATCCTAGCAGCCGAGCTATGAGGGATGGACCTATGCGTATAGTTCTTTTCATTGGGATGGCAAAGTCTCCAACAGTCATAGAGCTCTGCTTTCTTTATTATCCTACTAAGTGACGCGGCCTGCCGTTTCAGGGATTTATCTATCTGCTGGTTCTTAGACAGTTGCTTATCCAATAAAGTATCACAAATACAATTAAAATCACCTGCAACTAAAACTCTGCCTTTTTTTAACTTGCTCCACCAAACTCAAGATTTTACTCAGAGTTTTAATCGGGTTTTTATTGGGTAAGTACACATTAACTAGAGTATAATCCAACCCATTTAGTTGCCCCACTAAAATAATAAACCTCCCTTCTGGGTCTGAATGGTTATAACGGAATTCAATGGAAACTTAATTAGAAAAGATTATAGAAACCCCGCATTTCCCCCCCCCCCGTAGGGTGGCAGAATAAATAATTGGATATTTCTTATAGAACCACAGTTTTTTTGACTCTCCCATCCAGTGGGTTTCTTGAATAAATCCTATTTGTATTTTCTGATTAACAAAGGTATTATACAAGTAGCCTCTTTTAATGGGAGACTTTAAGGCCTTGGGCATTAATGGATACCACTCTGACCATAACTTATTCTATTTCAGCTGTTTCTATCCTTTTTGGGCTCTTTGACCAAATCCTCATCATGCAAAACCAGTTGAAGACATACAACACCCAACAAAACAACATAAATACATTCATATCTACAAGATAACTTGGAAAAAAACAACAACAAAATCTTCCAAGAACTGGGAGTCCTAGGGAATCCCACAGGGAGGGGCATGAGCTCACGGAGGGTCATGTAAGAGAGCGGCAAAGGAAGTGGGAGGAAGTGGAAAAAAAATCACCATATTATATTCGCTATACCCAGTATATATGTCCTTAAACCCTTAAACAATAAGTAATACCAAAAAATGGTGTAATACTTAGAATAAAACAAATACAATTTGCAAACAGACTTTTGCACATACTCCAAAGTACGCCTCAATGTATATACCATTGCAATTTAGAACACTCAGAAAGTGTAAGTCTCATTGTATCACACATATTTCCCTTTCCCATTATTCTTATTTTCTTCTGCCCACCTTTCCCTAATCTCTTTTCCTCTCCTTAACCTTTCCTCTAACCAAACAAAGTATGATAAGTGAAGAAAAAAAAAACCTGCTTCATATTACAAAGTTAACAATTATCCACCCACAAAAAGATAGGTTTTATACTCCGATCATGCTATAACTGTGGCAAAAATGTATCACCCGCCGAGCAGCTTTAAAGAGCAATGGCTCCGAAAAAAAATAAAAAAAATGCCCAGTCTTTCATTCCCTTCATGTAGATAAATTGAGTGCCATTAAATTGGGTAAAAGTAACATCCCCAGGATGCACTTGGAAACCAGAAAACATCTGAATGTCTCTTTCCTGGTTCAACATCTTGTTATAATTTTACCTAGTGCCTTTTAATACAGCTGCTGGGTTCATTTATTGTGCCTTTTGATATGCATTTGCCACTTTATTCACTTTCTCTAGGCCTCTGTGATTTATATATCTGGTGTTTTCTCTTGTGCATTCACTGCTATCTGCCACTGTTACATTATTATATGCCTCTATGTTTGGTTTTAGGCATTCACTAACTTTATTATCCTATTTCTATGTCTCTGTACTTGGTAATAGGCTTGTCGCAGTTCTGTTCCTCTATCTCAGCCTTTTGACCTATAAGTCCCTAAGTTTCCATACTTACTTTTGGGTCCATTCAGGTTTTTTCCTCTGCGTTTAATCCCTGCGAATATGTATATGGCGTATATGTGTCTATATATATATATATAAATATATTCCAAAAATGATAAAGGTAGTCAGCACTCTAGGTCTTGTGAAAAAAAGGAAGATATTTTCTATTGAAGATCCCAAAAGATCAACGTTTCAGTTCACTTAGGAACTTTCATCAGGACATAGTATCACACATTAACAAGATCGTTATATATAAGAGAAAACAAACTTACCAAAACCCATCACCTGTGTGTGAACGTCCCTCCTCTCCTCCCTGCGTCTGCACGCCCTCTAAGACCTCTCCCTGTGACATACACAAAGCTGATGTGCCTAAAGAGAAGCCCCATTCTGTTAAAACCATTGTATGATTGGTTTTCAACATCCTAGACACATCTACAATGTTGATACACATTGTGGCATGCAGAGAAAAAACCCTGCCGTGCAGGATCGGTAATCGATCGCCAAACAGTCTAATATACTGTTAGATCGAATAAATGAGTGAGTAAATCTAAACAGATAATAAAGTGCATGGTGCTGATGATGGATGATGTAAATCATCTCAAAATGATCTGGTATGTGATCCTTAATATAGTGAAAAGAGAGTACTGACTACCTTTATCATTTTTGGTGTATGTAGTGCAGTTGAACACCAGGTAATAAGACTGGGAAGCTGGAGTGCTAAACCTACAAACTGTATATAAATATATATATATACATATATATATATATTTGTGTACGGCACATTTAGAGGACGTATGACATAATAAGAAAGAAGCAAAGTGTAGTAAGAGCAAAGTCAGTTGAGGTGTGCCAAAACTGACGTGAGGTTAGACCTGTAAAAGAGGGCAAAAATATAAGAAGCAATTCTTTAAGTCAGGTACATTTATTTAAGCATAACATTACTTAGATATTTCACGTAAAATCTTATTTCTTTTTCACGATTGGGGATGTATCTGTTGTATGCAAATGATTTCCACCGACCCATATTTTTAATGATATATGTTAGTATGTGATTTCCGGAGGCAGCTGTGGCTGGCCCGAGAATGAATGTGGGTTATGTCCTAGCCGGAAGAAATAACGTACAAATGTAAAGTATGAATTGTTTGGTGGTTAGGGGTTTTCCTTGAATGGCCAATAGTGGGGAATCAGGGTTGGAAGTGAGTTGGGATTCCACTAGTTTATCCAAAACGTGGATTGGACACCATTTGGGAGAGGTAGGATAATATTTAATCTCTACTGGTGGACCAGTTTGGCTCGTTTTGGTATGGGAAATTGACCAAATGTAGTGGTCCTGGTTTTTAATTAGGTGTTTTTGCTGAAGGCATGACTTAAAGTCGGACGCCTTTTCCACAGAGAATTCTTTAGGTCTTACGAAACCATAGAAGGCTATAAAAGCCGCGGACTTGATCATTAGGTTCGTGGTTTGTTCAAAAGGGGACTTGTCTAGTACATCAGAGATACTCCTAAACAGTGTACTGTCTATGGGAAGTCTCTTAATGGGATTATGTACTGTTAGTCTCTGAATACCTTTAAGGACACTTTTAACTGGGTAGGATGCTAGAAATTGAGTTTTGTTGGGATAACTGGTTAACATGTAGTGTTGTATGCCTGTTAAGTAAAGTTTGATTGTATTGTAAGCTAATTTAAGAGAAATGTGGCAAAAGTTGTAAATGCAACCATGGTTTCTATGGAAAAAACATTTATTATACAATAATCACAAACAAACTTTTTAAACAAATCATATGCTCTTGAATATACTTTTTTGTATTAAGAGATAAGCCAGCCTGTGCGAGCGACCTACTATGGAGTAACAGGGTATTTACAGCATGATTAGGTCTGTAAAGCTCGGAGGTTGTCTGGGTTGTGCGTTTGCCGATAGATGTATTCTGAAAAACTCCTGTAAATTAGAGGGTGAGAGAGCGTCAGCTGAGTTCTGAACACCAGGCACATGAATGCTATAGACACAGAATTGTAGGTTTGCTGCTAGCTAGGTAAGTCTCTTTACCAATTTCAAAGAGCGGCCTTTGTTGATAATATCACATGCCGCCACGTTATCTGAGAAGCACCTGACCGACTGCCCACTCCATTCCTTACCCCATATGTGTGCAGCAGCTACGATTGGGAAGACTTCGAATAGTGCTGAGGTGGTATTGAAGTTCTCTAGTGTGGTAGTCTCTAGTGGCCAAGAGTCGTACACCCATTCGTTACCAAAAAATAGCTGCGTAGCCTATGGCACCCGATACGTCAGTCCAAACTACCAGGGAGTCGTCAGAAATAGGGGGGACGAATAGCGACCTGCCATTCCAAGAAGATGAAAGAAATAGATGCCACATTTTAAGATCTGCTCTAGCTGGTTCGTCTAAGAGGGTTGTGGAGTCGTCATCAGGGAAACCGTGCAGAGGATTCTGGAAATGAAAGACCTGGCCTGTGGAATTATTCTCATTGCATAATTGAGTGAACCGAGTAGTGACTGTAGTTGTTTCCTAGTGAAAGTGCCCTGTGACGTGCAGATGTTGATGTAAGAAAGAATTCTGTCTACTTTCTCTTGGGGCAGGCTGGCTTGCATAGAAACAGAATTGAGTGTTATCCCCAGGAATGTAATCTGTGTTGGGAACTTCTGTTTTGTCTGGGGCTACAGGGACTCCTAAATCTTTGAACAGAGTGAGCATGTGATTTAGGCTGTGTGGTGTGCAGTGGTGTGGTTCGATAGGGAGGAAGTCGTCCAAGTAATGTAATGTCTACTAGACATTTGCATTTGTTCAGTAGGAGACAGGTTAAAGTTTCGACGAAGATATTGAATATCTTGGGGCTACTTTTGGAACCGAAAGTTAGTCTGGTAGCGAAATAATACCTGTCTTCCCACTTAACTCCATGCAGATGCCAGAGTGACTGATGAATGGGTAGTAATTTAAATGCATTAGTAATGTCGGATTTACTTAAACAGGCAGCCTTCCCAAAATAAATTATGGCTTGTATGGCGTCATCAATTCTTGCGTACTGAAGGGAGAAATCTTCTGACGGGATCAGTGCATTTAAGCTAGGTGTAGTGGAAGAGTGAGGTGCAGAAAAATCAATAATGAGTCTCTTTTTATTATTAAATTTCCCTGTGGCGATTCCTAGGGGGTTTGTCCTCCAGGAGGTGAAAGGTGGTGTTGTGAACGGTCCTATCATGAAACCGTTGGCGATTTCTTTAAGTAGGAGTTCTTGTATGCTACTGGGATTTGTGAGTGCTGACTGTAGGTTGGGGCATTCCGAAATACCTGTGGTGAGTGTAACAAACCCTGTGTGAAACCCATTAGTAAAACCAGATGTGAGAAATTCTACCAGATGTAAAGAAGGATGATTAGACAGATAGCGTTGCAAATTACGAACGTTTATTGGAGTAGAAGATTTTTTAGGGTACAGCCTGTTTGGGCACATTGTTTTAGCGTGCGCTCTGTAATAAAGTAAGCACACGTGAAGAAGCCTGCATGCACTATAACTACAACCACCGGCGTTTAAATTATTGCAGACTTGTGCTCTGCCCAGAAAAACGATTGGCCTGCCTAATTTGTCTCTCAATTCTCTCTGGGTTGTGTTGGATTGATAATCAGCGTTGGTGTTTCTGGTAGAAGGAATTGCTAAGTTTTCAGGACAAAAATTTATTGTATGGGCTACTGGTGAGCATATGGCGCAGGAAGGTGTTTTGAAGCCTGCAAAATGCCTTAGAAACAGTTCGGTGTCTAACTGACCCCAGTCGGTGTTTGTATTGTATTGGAACAGTGATGCGGCAGATCTGGATGCAAATGATTTGTGGTAGTCGTAAAAGGCATATCCTCCATACTTATATGCTAAGTCAATGACTTTGTGTAGGTATAGGCCAAGTTCTTCTCTATGGAGGGGAAAAGCTATACAGATAACGTCTTTGTATTGACTGAATGCTAGGACAAATTCAGGGATGTTAAGTTTCCTATTTAGTCTTGGATTTCTAGACTTCATGACTACTGACAGATCATCAAACGTATGACCTGTTCTCGACTACGTCTTGAGAAGCTATCAGTAGTGAAGCCAGATTTATGTCTTTCCCCTCTATTATGTCATGTTGGTAGTTTTAGCGGGTAAAGGGTTATTGTTACCTCCTGGGTTAGGTTCAGGCTGGGCTATAGGTACTGGAAACTCCGGAATGGTTGGAGTATCATTGGACTCCAGATTATCCAACCTATTATTAATAGTAGCTACAGAAGACACTAGAGAAGCCATCATAACGTGCAGTTCTGCCAATCTGTTTTGCACATTAAACTCTGAACTAGGGCCAGGCCTTTCGTTGTCCTTGGTAGTGTTTAACAAATAAAAGAGTTCAGCTTTCCTGGCTGTAGCTGGGAATGGGATATTCCTCTTTTTGAGTTCCGAGGTGATTTTGGGGATTGTCCAAGATCTATAGCTGGAAGCTGGGCTTGCCTGTATGGGTTGCCTTCTCTGCGAGCCTGATCTGGTCAGGGTGCTGGTAACCGACAGGTCATCTCCTTGTATGGAAGGGTTAGACATGCTAAGGGTGTGAGGAAGATAGCTTGGCTAGTATTGTAGTATATAGATCTGCAGTAACCCAGATTACTAGATTAGTGCCCTAAGGCGAAATTGTATTAACTTACTATCTTAGGTGACAGGTGAAGCCCTGACTACTTGCTAAGTGGCTTTGAGAGGCTCTACCTATGATGTGGCTTGTGTGGCCTTTGTGCCACTGAGGTGGGTCGCGGGGTGTTGGCCTCTCGGTGACACATAAAAGATTGTAATATCGATTGGCTGTGACGAGTGAGGCCCTAACTATGATTTGATGCAAGGCTATAACTATGCGTTGGGCCGATTGGGCTCGAACCTCTGATGCAAGCAATGATTGTAGGCCTTGCAGGACCACTTGACTATAGGCGAAGAGGCCTATGGGAATATACCTAATTGGCAAGAGCTTTATTAACCCATAACAAATAACCTAACTGGGTTTATTATTTAACCTACCTGCTATTTGTCCTGTATAATGTATTCGGTAGTGGAAAGAATGATCCCTACTTGATCCTAAAACATGTCATAATAATTAAGTTACCATCTAACCCCCAGGTGAAGACCATTGATATTGCACCTTTAAGCATTAGAGCAGATACTAACCGTATATCTTGACTTATGTTAGGAAGATTTGGCTTGTCCTGGTAGGGCGATAACTTGAACTAATGTGGGAAAAACATGTCTTATTTATTTATGGTACTTGTTTATCAGAAAGAAATACATAAAATTATAAGTTGGTAGGTAATTTAGAGGCCTACCTCTTTAAATAATGTGGTTGTATTTAACCAAGAAGGCACTGTTGCAAGCAATGTCAGTAATTCTATGATCTTTAAACAGGAGGAAAAATAAACATGCTTAATTGTTGTTTAATTTCTATACTGTATAGCATTAGCTATGGCTTTAAGAAAAAGTACTTTAGTGAATGTATGAACTTAACTGCCATTAATTTACATTCTGTTTAAGGATATTGCGCCGTTCGTTTAATTTGACATGAATAAAGTGGAAAGGACGTTTAATGAAAGATATAGTAACCATACAAATTTTAACATGAAATGCTGTTTAAAATGAATGAACAATCTTTAACAACTCTGTTTAAACGAATTGAACTTCTGCTGATCTGTATGAGTGAATTGCCAGCATGGCAAATAAACCAAAGTTTACACGAAACAAAACGAAAGTTTATACGAAAAGAGTAAACGAAAGTTAATACGAAAGTAAATGGAAGTTTACACGAAATAAAAATGAAAGATATATACGAAAGTGTGTTTTATAGGAACGGCAGCTATATATATACGAATGGTTAAATATAAGATTTTTAGGCAAACTTATATCTGACAATGTATGAATGAAGTGTGTAAGGAAACAGAAGAAAGTTTAAACAAACGCCAGATTACACAAAGAGTAGCGGTATGTGAATGAATGGTTATTGTAAGCGTTATAGTGAAACCGAAATGTTTAGACGAACAAGTGATTAATGATACGTGTAGGGGTGCGTTCGAATGATAAGAGTATAACTTAGCCGTTAGCCGTTCGTATTCTGGCTTCCTTGTTAAACTCACGAACTTAGTTTAGAACAGAAACTTTGAAACGGACTGCCGGCAGGCGGGAAAATGACGTCAGGTTCCTGTGAACCGGAAGTAAACAGAAGCACTTCCGAGATCGTAGCCGACAGGTTAGCAGGGGCTGGTACACACCAAGCGGGATGACGAAGACCAACTTGGGGATAGCCTCCTCTGGCCCGGTCTATGGTGGTCAGATAGTGTCCCCTGGCTATGCTATCCAAACGTTCATCTACTCGGGGTATAGGGTAAGCGTCAGTAATGATCCGATTGTTTAGTCGCCTGTAGTCCCTGCAGAACTGAGTAGTTCCATCCTGCTTCAGTACTGTCATGGGCTGTCAGATGTCTCAATGACTCTTAAGCACAATATTTCCTGTATTTTCTAACGCATTCCTTCTAGGACTGCTTCAGGTATACAGCAGGTAGTTTGTCTAAGTGGGGCTTGACCTGGGATTTTCACTTTTTGTATGACCAAAGTGGTGTATCTGGGTTCCTGGAAAAAAGTCAGTTGCATGCTCTCCAGTAACTGATGGGCTTGGTGGGTTTCTAGTCTAGTTAAACGGTCCCCTAAGTATACTTGACTGAAGAGATCGGTTTGAGGACTCTCTAAGAAATTGGGTAGGGGTAGATTGTCAGGGTCGTCAGCAGCTGGGGCACATACAGCAGCTACAATCTTCCTACCTTTCCTGGTACTCCTTCAGCATATTAATGTGGAAGGAGCGCTGTATCCTCTCATCGGCGCAGCTTGCTACCACATAAGTGGTATAGCAGGGTCGTTCAACATTTTGTAGCGGCCCTGCCACGCCGCTTGCAATTTATCTTGTCGGACATGCTTTAATACAAGCACCTTTTGTCCCACACGAAAATTACGCTGTCGGGCACCACTATTGTACCATACTTTCTGTCGCTTGCATAGACCGTTAGTCTGGGGATGATAGGGAGAACTTTGTATGGGTTTTATCCCACAAACCTTCCATAACTGGTGGGTAATGTTGGCTGTGAATTGGGTACCCTGGTCTGAGAGGATCTCTTTGGGGAAACCCACCCTAGAAAATATTCGGACCAGAGCATCTGCTACCGTCTCTGACTAAATATTTGCGAGTGCAACGGCTTCTGGTAAGTATGTATCTCTTAACGGAAGGAACTGGGCCTATCTAGGGGTCCTAATATGTACACCACTACACGACTGAAGGGCTCCTCGATATTTGGCAAAGATCAGCCAAGCTTTGTGGTGGTCCCTGCTCTTACCTACTCACTGACAAATATCACAAGTTTGGCAGCACAGCCGAACATCCCTAGAGATCCCTGGCCAAAAGAAGTTCTGGGTCACTCTATGAGATGTCAGGCATATGCCCAGATGCCCCGCTAAAGGTACATTGTGCCCAATCTGGAGAAGTTCCAACCTGTACTTCCTTGGAACTACAAGCTGGTGCTTCTGGGATGGGGCTGTCCCTCTAATGTGTGTTTTGGTTATCTTGTATAACCGGTCCTGCTCCCAGATGAACCTTTCGCTCTCTAAACCCCTTTGTTCGGTGTCTGCCTTGGTCCTATGATTGTGTAGTGTGGAGTCTTCCCGGGCCTCTCTCCCAAACTCCTCTAAGGTATCCCAAGCTTACGGGGTCGGACCTACTGTCAAACTCAGAGGTTCAATTGCCTAATTTCCTGTGTTGTTGCCAGTTGTCTGGAGAGGCAGCCTGAACAGGGTCAGCGTCATGTAACACCTTTGTCAGGTTTAGCCTTGGTTTCTATGCAGTGGGCTGTGGCCGGGGATAGTGCAGCGTTGGGGATTCTAGGGGCCTTGGGGATTCTAGGAGGCAATTGCTTCTCACACGTCCCAGCTGTTGGCATCGGAAGTATCGGGGGCCTATCTTTGGGTTGCCTGGGTAGCCCCAGGTAAGGAGGTCGAGATTGGTGAGGGGTCGCTGGGAGGGGACCTTAGTGGTGGTCTGTCAGTGTCTGTATACTCTGGGATTTGCAGATTAAAAAAATGTTCCAGGAGAAATAACTGCAACACCTTTTCTCCCAACACTGCTTTGCACCCTGTTACCCAGTGAGATGGAGTTCTGTGGAGGCAGCAAGCCCATTCACCATAAGAGTCATTATCTGACTTCCTTAACTCTCTAAACCGCCTGGGGTATACTTCCGGGGTAACTGCATACCTGGTGAGCAATGCTTCCTTTACGCTGTAGTATTGATGGATTTCTCCATCAAGTATAGCTCTGAATGCCTCGGCAGCTTTGCCTGATAGCTTCCCCCCAGGATTGGTACCCATTCCTTTTCTGGTACCTTATGGAAAGCACATTGCCTATCAAAGTCTGCAAGGTATCCATCAATTTCCCCCTCTGCCTCTTGGAAAGTTTTGAAGGCGGAGAACTGAACCCTTTTCCGTTCTGGTGCGGTGGAGAGGCTTTCAGCTGCAGGGCTTCCTGAACGATGGATCTCCGCCAAGCATAGCTGGTACTCCCGCTTATCTCGTGCCCCAGCACTTGCAATGTGATTTCCGCTGGAGGGTTGGGCCCGAACAAGGCTAGACGCAGCCGAACGGTTGCATCTGTTAGTCTTCCTCCAAGTTCATGGAAATCGTTTCGGCAAGGGGGTTGGTTCGGTCCTGCGCCATCAGTTCGTTGATTAAATCTCTTTTCGTACGGTTACTGGCAATTCATCTCTTCAGCAAATCTTTTAGTGTAGATTGTTTAAGCCATTCGTATCCGTTCTCCATCCGTTATTCTGCCACTTGCATGAGTCAGCATCTGTTCCTGGGAAAAGACACCATCCCACCACTAACACCAGATGTGACGGCCACCCGGATAGGAACACGGGTTTCGCCTCCAAGAATGTCTCTTCCCTCATTCCAGAACTCTGCTGCAGCCACTCTAGTAATAATAGCAATCAAGAGTAGAATTTCCCAAGTAGTAAAACGTCAGAGTAGGTATAGCTTTTCCCCCACACACATTAGTCGAGACTGAATGCTGGGAGTGAACTGTATTATCCATGGCCACACATGGCCTTTTTATGCAAAAGCCCCCTGCAAGGGGTTTCCAACACAACATTACTGGGTCATCCCCCCCATTATCCTCTGTGCCTAAGAGAGAATTCAGTTCCCTCTCAGGTACATAAAATCTACAATTTCTATAACACCCCAAAACATACAGCAAACAACCATATACCCCCTCAAGTCTTATAACCCCGGGTAGCCTGGATCTGAATGCACAGTATATGCAAAAAGCACTCAGATCCCACTAATACAGCCGAAATGCCACTGAGGTAAGTATTTGACTGACCGCACACGAGGCTCCTGCCCAAAATAGTTCCATAGAATCAGTGGTAGCGGTCGGTCTCTTTTGGCAGTATGAAAACACACAAAATACTGAACGTATGCATGAGCCGGTCAGCAGATAGTGTTCACCTCATTCGTGGGGATGATTCCATCGAACAGTGTTCTCCGAGAATGTATAGAAACAAACACAGGCGGGGATGGAAGTTCAGCATTGTTTGCGAGGATGATTCTAGTTCCATGCTCTCCTGACGACGGCATGTAGACACACCGAAACCCACGTTGAGCGTTTCTAAATCACTTTTTTATTTTGGGCACTGGGTAGCACTTATTATGATTTAATTAGTTTGTCTTCAGACTTAGCAATTTGTTCTACCAGGCGCAGGAGGATTTGTGGTATTTGTGAGACTAGCTGAGTTTTATGTGTTATAGGATTACCATTAGGGCTAGCTTTTTCTACCCTTGGTGTCTCAGCATAACTTATACTCTTTGAACATTTTTGCTATTTGTAGGAGGACTACGTCTTCATAGGTAGAGGGTTATACATACTTTACAGTTCTTACTGGGAAGCCCATTGGGATTTTCTACCCCTATTCCCCAGTATTTACTGTTGCCTTTACCTTCTGATTCCTTCCCCCTTCCCCGACCAGACCTGGTTTATCACACATTATGCACATGTGGTTTATGCACATTACGTCACCAATACTCCTCTATGAGGACCATTTGATTGGACCACACCAGAGGAAACCATGCCTCCTCTGTGATTGCACTGGGGGAAGAAGTGGTAACAAGGTAAGTAAATCTTTTTTACATTTATTTTTTTTGCACCGTATGGTGGGAGGATGGGGGATACCTGCCTACAAGTAGGGACAGGAATACTGTTGCATTAGGAATACAGATTTTTAGTTCTAACGCTATAGTGTCACTTTATTGAGATGATGGTGTTATCTATGATATGGGAGATTTCAGGTGTTGAGTTGAGGATAAAGGGCAATCACTAACAGCTCAGTTTTATTAAAAATTAGAGAGATTTTTCATTGGCACAAAATAATAATACCGTTGCAAGAAAAAGTATGTGAACCCTTTGGAATGATATGGATTTCTGCACAAATTGTTCATAAAATGTGATCTGATCATCATCTAAGTCACAACAATAGACAATCACAGTCTGCTTAAACTAATAACACACAAAGAATTAAATGTTGCCATGTTTTTATTGAACACACCATGTAAACATTCACAGTGCAGGTAGAAAAAGTATGTGAAACCTTGGATTTAATAACTGGTTGAACCTCCTTTGGCAGCAATAACTTCAACCAAACGTTTCATGTAGTTGCTGATCAGACGTGCACAACGGTCAGGAGTAATTCTTGACCATTCCTCTTTACAGAACTGTTTCAGTTCAGCAATATTCTTGGGATGTCTGGTGTGAATCGCTTTCAAGAGGTCATGCCACAGCATCTCAATTGGGTTGAGGTCAGGACTATGACTGGGCCACTTCAGAAGGCGTATTTTCTTCTGTTTAAGCCATTCTGTTGTTGATTTATTTCTATGCTTTGGGTCATTGTCCTGTTGCAACACCCATCTTCTGTTGAGCTTCAGCTGGTAGACAGATGGCCTTACGTTCTCCTGCAAAATGTCTTGATAAACTTGGGAATTCATTTTTCCTTCGATGATAGCAATCCGTCCAGGCCCTGACGCAGCAAAGCAGCCCCAAACCATTATGCCCCCACCACCATACTTCACAGTTGGGATGAGGTTTTGATGTTGGTGTGCTGTGCCTTTTTTTTCGCCACACATAGTGTTGTGTGTTTCTTCCAAACAACTCAACTTTGGTTTCATCTATCCACAGAATATTTTTCCTGTACTGCTGTTGAACATCCAGGTGCTCTTGTGCAAACTGTAAACGTGCAGCAATGTTTTGTTTGGGCAGCAGTGGCTTCCTCTGTGGTATCCTCCCATGAAATCCATTCTTGTTTAGTGTTTTACGTATTGTAGATTCGCTAACAGGGATGTTAGCATTTGCCAGTGACTTTTGTAAGTCTTTAGCTGACACTCTAGGATTCTTCTTCACCTCATTGAGCAGTCTGCGCTGTGCTCTTGCAGTCATCTTTACAGGACAGCCACTCCTAGGGAGAGTAGCAGCAGTACTGAACTTTCTCCATTTATAGACAATTTGTCTTACTGTGGACTGATGAACAGCAAGGCTTTTGGAGATACTTTTATAACCCTTTCCAGCTTTATGCAAGTCAACAATTCTTAATTGTAGGTCTTCTGAGAGCTCTTTTGTGCGAGGTATCATTCACATCAGGCAATGCTTCTTGTGAAAAGCAAACCCAGAACTGGTGTGTGTTTTGGTGTGTGTTTTTTATAGGGCAGGGCAGCTGTAACCAACACCTCCAATCTCATCTCATTGATTGGACTCCAGTTGGCTGACATCTCACTCCAATTAGCTCTTGGAGATGTCATTAGTCTAGGGGTTCACATACTTTTTCCACCTGCACTGTGAATGTTTACATGGTGTGTTCAATAAAAACATGGCAACATTTCATTCTTTGTGTGTTATTAGTTTACGCAGACTGTTATTGTCTATTGTTGTGACATAGATGATGATCAGATCACATTTTATGACCAATTTGTGCAGAAATCCATTTCATTCCAAAGGGTTCACATACTTTTTCTTGCAACTGTAGTTACATAGCTGAAAAGAGACTTGCGTCCATCAAATTCAGCCTTCCTCACATATGTTTTTGCTGTTGATCCAAAAAAAGGCAAAAAACCTAGTCTGAAGTGCTTCCAATTTTGCAACAAACTAGGAAAAAATTCCTTCTTGACCCCAAAATAGCAGTCAGATGTCTCCTTGGATCAAGCAGCTATTACCTCACTAATTAGATCCCTGTATGTTATGTTTTTGCAAGTATTTATCCAATTGCAGTTTAAACATCTGTATAGACTCTGACAAAACTACCTCTTCAGGCAGAGAATTCCATATCCTTATTGCTCTTACTGTAAAAAAAAATTTTCTTTGCCTTAGATGCACTATGTATTCTCACAACTTTTTATTAAGTTTTTCATCAATGTGAGCTACAGTAGCTCTTCTGTGAGATCGGACCAGACGGCCTAGCCTTTGCTCCCCACATGCATCAAAGAGCCTTGTGCACCCATGACCCGGTTTTATCAGTTGTCCTTCCTTGCACCACTTTTGGTAGGTACCAACCACTGCATAATGGGAACACCTCAAAAGGCTTGCCGTTTTGTGATACTATGTGGCTTTTGTCTTCCATCATGACATAGTGAGAACAAACAGAGGTACAGTGAGCCCTCAGCAGATGCTTAGCTCTAAATCTAAAGTAACTACATTAATTGGAAAAAGAAAGTACATCCTCTTTGAATTCTATGACTTTACTTATCAAGGCATAATAACAATCATCTGTTTCGTAGCAGGTCCTAAAATGTATTTTATTAAATAAATCATGACACTGTAATACTGTGTGTTGTTGTTCATCTGAGGTTGAATTTACCTAATTTTAAAACCTGCTAAGGAACAAATGATTGTTATTTATTTATTTATTATTGCCATTTATATAGCGCCAACAGATTCCGTAGCGCTTTACAATATTATGAGAGGGGGGATTAACTATAAATAGGACAATTACAAGAAAACTTACAGGAATGCTAGGTTGAAGAGGACCCTGCTCAAACGACCTTACAGTCTATAGGAGGTGGGGTATAAAACACATTAGGACAGGAAATAGCAATCAAATAAGGTGGAAATGCGCTGTGCATTATAACTTCAAGTGGTCATTATCATCCACAGAATAGTGAACAACAAATCCACTTTGAATGCTAAAGTGAGTAATGTTTAAATTACTTCATTCAATATGAGGGAATTTGGGACAAGATAACCAGAGAACTAAATGGGACACAGTACAATTCCCCACAAGTCTTTTGGCTTTGTAGTAAACACTTCTGTAGGTTTACATATTGAGCTGAAGTTCATTGCCAAATGTAATGAGGAAAATGCTAAGTTAACAGTTATTTTGTTTTGTTTTATAGGTAAGATTTTGGTCCACTGTGCTGTGGGAGTAAGCAGATCTGCAACTTTAGTTCTTGCATACCTTATGATACATCAACACATGAATTTGGTAGAAGCCATTACTACAGTAAAAGACCGCAGAGGAATCATTCCCAACCGAGGATTCCTACGTCAATTAATAAATCTGGACAATACCTTAATGCGGAATCGTTGATCTCAATATAACTTCTTATCTATTCAATTATGGGCTAATTTTATTGAGCCCTCAATCTAATCACCAATTACATTAATGCTAAATTACAATGTACTAACGCAATACATTTCACAGTCTATGATTTAAATGAAGGGGCATGTAAAATACACTAAAACGTTTTGTTTTTTTAAATTAAATACCAGTTATTAGACATTTAATATATGTAGTCTGATTTTAGGGAACAGTATCACTAAGATTCAATAAATGTGCTATTTTAATTTTGTGGCTGGCATTTGTTGTCAAACAAAATGAAGCTTAAGAGTTTAACAATTCTATATTTTAAAAATGCTATTTAACTTCCATCTTGACTACTAATTACATAGCTCACAGATTATTGCACATTAGCAGAGTTCTTCATATCACATGTTTAAATTGAAGAGGTTAACAAATTCGAGCCATCAACCATCACATTTTCATGAATTAAATTGCTGTTCTGAAGACCCAATAAAACTTTTACCTTCTAATAGATGAATGCAAAATCAAAAGAAGAATAGACTGGCATTCCTTTTGATTGGCTGAACATTTAACATTTTATTTTTTGAATCAATTGATACACAGACTGAGAATCAACTAGCACAAAGTTGGCAAGGTAAATGCATACAGATAGAAAAATAGGGGACAATCTGCTAAATACAAATAAAAAACATAGCATATAACTGTGTGGAGACTGGTTTTGATGTGTGATCACAAATGGTCACTCACAATTTTGAAGATTTAAGATAGCCTTGAATGATGTCTTTATGGAATTAGAGCAGCTTTATATGGTGTTATTCAATATCCAGTATGTTGTCTCTCCTCACATATTCATCAGCGAAATAGATATGTGTGTCTCAAAAAGAGAAAATGTACAAAAATGTAGTGCACTTCCAGAATATGTTAAAAAATATATTTAATGACTTACATTTAGGTATAAAACAAACAGCATGTCACCATACACGTCCTACGCGTTTCGTCCTGAAATTGGACTTCCTCAGGGACTTGGTGTGATAAAGTGCAATCAGAAATAGCAGCAATAATAACAATATCCCCCCCACAGTCCTTTATATACACCCCCATTTAATCTTTAAGTTCTTTCAGCTGGTGTTCAATTTTCTTTTCGGCGGTATGGAACCGAGTGACGTCATTGCGTGCGTCGCGTGCGTTCCACCTTGCGTTCCACAGACCCGGAAGTGGGTCGCGTGCGTTCCACCTTGCGTTCCGCAAACCCGGAAGTGGGTCGCGATCGTCTGTTACTTTCTCCTGTTCTAATGCATTAGCTCAGAGAATATATAGGCAGGTGGATAAAACGGAGAGGGGAGGGACAAGCGATTAAAAGAATATACTCTGGAAGGCACTACAAATCGAAATAAAAAATGTACATTCTCCATGAAATCTAAAATTATGGATACATGTGTATATACATATATATATCCCATTTTCATTGGGTACAGGTTTTATAAAACATTTTTTTCACATATTTGCCACACACATTTCCTTCTTATGATTTATATGGAAATAACATCTTATTTCATAAACTACATGAATAATAATATAATAGTCTAACATTTTTAAATGATTATAAAATATATAACAAACCATATACGTACATATATGATATATAGACATTAATATGAGTAATATAACCTATTTATATTGCACTCTTTATCCCATTCTTAAAGATAAATAAAATAAATTTACAACTCAAAACAAAAATAAATGAGTATAATAAAAAATAATAATAATAAAAAATATATAAAATAAATAATAATAAAATGATTAATAATTAATAATAAAAAATAAAAAATAAAAAATAGGATTTTTATTTATTATTAATTGAATGAGAGAAAGGTGCAGTGTTTTCCCAAACATCAGAATGTAAATTCGGTAGTTCTCTCAATCTTCAAAGAAACTCCATAAATCAATGTCTAAATTTAAACCAAAAGGTTGGAGTGTTTTTAGTTTGTTAATCCAAAAAGTCTCTCTTTGGGAGAGCTTTTTGGTTAAATTTCCTCCTCTCCAATGTGGGTCCACATGTTCTATGCCCAAAAAAATAAAACTTTGCCAATCAAATTTATTGCAAGTATTGCAATGTAATGGTACTATATGTTTAACTGATTTTTTTCTTATATTGTTTTGATGTTCTAAAATTCTCTCTTTTAACTTTCTACATGTTCTCCCCACGTACTGTTTCCCACACGGGCATTGTAACATGTATACCACGTTTCTCGTATTGCAATTTATATTAGATTTGATTTTGAATTTCTCCTTTGTAGTGAAACTCATAAATTCTTTTTTTTGAATGAATTTTTGATTTTTACAAGCCTTGCAAGAATTGCAAGGATTGAAACCACTGATGTTTGGGGTCACACCCTTATATGGAATTTTTAAAGCGTAACTTGGTGCTAATACATTTTTTAGATTTTTTGTTCTCCTGAAAATGATTGGTATTTTTTTTGGTAATACTTTGCCCAAAATCGGATCCTGACATAAAATGTTCCAGTGTTTATTAAGAACCTTTTTTATTTTCCAGTGTTGGATGTTATACTGAGTCATAAAAGAAAAATTATAATTATCCTTAGAATGTTTTTTGGGGTTAGATGTTATTAGATCTCTTCTATTTCTTTTTCCTATTTCTTTAATTTCTTTATCTAACAATGTTGTTTTATATTTCTTTGCCACAAATTTATTTTTTAGAAATTCAGCCTGTTCTCTATAGTCTGAATCCTTCGTACAATTTCTTCTCACTCGTATTAGTTGGCTTTTTGGTATAGTTTCCAACCACTTATCTTTGTGGCAACTTTTTCTATGGATGAAGCTGTTACCCTCTGTTTTTTTGAAAAAACATTTGGATTGGATCTGATTATTTTCAATGGAGAGGCTTAGATCAAGAAAATTGATAGTGGTAGTATTTATTTCATGTGTAAATTTTAAACCATAATCATTTTGATGGATGTAATCAATAAATGATAATAAATCTTCATGTGTACCTCGCCAAATCAAAATTATATCGTCAATAAAACGTTTCCATAGGACCAGGTTCGCTACCCAGCCATGCCCACCCCACACATGATTAGACTCCCAATCCCGCATGTATATGTTTGCATAGCTGGGGGCGAACCTGGTCCCCATGGCTGTACCTGTGGTTTGAAGATAAAATGAATCATCAAAATAAAAATAATTATGTTTGAGGATGTAATGGATACTATTTAAGATAAAATTCCTGAAATTTGATGATATACTTTCATCTTTCTCCATAATCTGTTCCACTGCTGCTAAACCTTTGTTATGTTTTATTATTGTGTATAATGACGTAACGTCTATGGTTGCCCAGATATAGTCAGATTCCCAAGTTACACCCTCCAAAATTCTTAAAATGTGTGCAGTGTCTTTCAAATAAGAAGATGCTTCTTGTGCATATTTTTGGAGATGGTGGTCCACAAATTCAGATAAATGGGCGGATACAGAGTTAATGCCACTGATTATTGGCCTACCTGGGGGGGTTATTGAATTTTTATGTAACTTAGGGAGAAAGTAGAAAATAGGTATTATTGGAAAATTATTAAAAAGATATTCTTTATTGTTTTTAGAAATTATATCATTTTTATAAGCTTGATTTAATAGGGATCCCAAAATGATGTTAAATTTTTTTGTTGGATCTCCTGTAAGTTTAATATAAGTTTCTATATCTCCCAAAATTCTATACGCCTCCTTCATATAATATTCTTTTGTCATAATGACTATCGCTCCTCCTTTATCGGCTTCCTTTATTACTATGGTGTCCATCTTTTGTAATTTAGTTATGCTTTCTGATTCTTCTTTACTCATATTATATTTATTTTCTCCTAAGTTTTTTTCTTTTTCCAATTTTTCTAAATCATGGCACACCATATTGTTGAAAGTTTCTAAAAAAGGGCCTCTATCCCCTACTGGATAGAATTGTGATTTCTTTTTAAATTGTTTTTGTTCTAAGGTGGTATGATCTATGTTTTTTGGGAATGTATTTTCTTCTATCTCTCTTTTTAAGAAAAACCTTTTTAATGTCATTTTACGAATATATTTCTGGACATCAATATATGTATTAAAAAAATTCATTTTTTGATTCGGGGCAAATTTTAAACCCTTACTTAAGGCTTTTAAATCAGTATGGCTCAACTCTATATCTGTTAAATTGTAGATTCCATATTGTTTCTCTAATATCTTTGTCTCAGGGAGTCCTCTCTCCTTGGGTTCTCCTCTATTCTTTTTCTTTTGGGGGGAGTTGCGTGAATATCTAGTATGGTTTCCTGGTGGTTGTGACGTGGTTTGAAAAATTGGGTTATTCTCCCATCTCTGTGATGGGACCCTCCCTCTAAAAAAAGATTTTCTCTTTCTTCTGGATGTTCCAGGCTAGTTTTTGTTGCTTGAGCATACGATCTCCTAGGGGGGGAGTCACATCGATTTGGGGAAATCAGTTCTCTCCTACCTTTTGGTTGGAAAGAATTTTGGGTTTGTGCAGTATTATTTGAAGTGAATATTTTTCGTCTCGTGATAAGTGGACTTTGTGTGTGGTTATTAGAATATCTTCTATTTTTAACAGGTGAATTTCGTGTATGATTAATTGAAAAATTTCTTGCTTGCATAGGTGAAGTGTTTCTTTTATAGATATCAGATTTTCTAAAAAAAGTGTTCCTGTATGGCCCCTCGAAGTTCCTATTATTTCTATCAAAATTTCGTTTTTGTTTATTTTTGATTTTATTGCTAGTGGAGAAAGTATTAAAAGTTTTATCTCTTCTATCTCTCTTCATTTTATTATTTTTAGTCTCCGCAATCCTTTCCTCTAAGATCTTAATTGTATTGCAAATTTCTTGTTCTTTTTCTTTATATTTATTAGATTCTATATTTTGACTTCCTTCAGATTCTAAGGTTTTTAGATCTATCTCTATTTGTTCTCTTTCTTGTTTTTCAAATTCAATTATTAATTTCATAAGATTTTGTGAACATGTGTCTAGAATTGAATCCCATTTTTTTAGGAATTCTTCATTATCTACACCACATGCTGGAATCTTTTCCACTCTTAATCCTCTAGGGATTAATCCTTCTTTAAGATAACCTTCCAAATAGGACACTTCCCACCATTTTTTTTTGTTTCTTTTACCATTAAACGTTCCAATTTAGTGAAATAATAGTTGTCAGAATCTCTTAAAGGGATATTATCTGTATTTTGTGAGAACATTTTTTCAAATCTTACGTTTCTACCTCTTTGTATATTTGAAAATGAATGAGTTGCCATAATAGGTGTGTCACAAAGGTGAGGATTAGAATATACAAAAAAACAACAATATATGTGAACACAACCCCAGTGAAAAATAATAAAATATAGGAGCAAACCAAAACTTCCCTTATCTTAAGGTGAAGTATCCGGATGAATCCCCGAAGACTTCCTCTTGTCTTCAATAGATATACACAGAAAAATAGGGGACAATCTGCTAAATACAAATAAAAAACATAGCATATAACTGTGTGGAGACTGGTTTTGATGTGTGATCACAAATGGTCACTCACAATTTTGAAGATTTAAGATAGCCTTGAATGATGTCTTTATGGAATTAGAGCAGCTTTATATGGTGTTATTCAATATCCAG